GATTCGAAAAAACCCAAAAAACCAATCGGATACGACAATTTTCCAATCTTATTCGTAGAATTACCAATCGGATAAGGTTGATTCCGGGGCCGAATTTTGTCGGATCAGATTGGTTTTGAGTTACCAGAGTTGCCGAATTGCCGAAGAGAACGTTCGATCGCGAAACAAAAATCAATGTCCATTGAATAATTTGGGATACCGTAAAAATTCGGTATTTATATTTCGAATTATCGTTGAAAACATTTAATAGCCGAAATTTTTATTTTCGGCAAATTGCCGAATTGCCGAAATTTTGATTTTCGGCAAATTGCCGAATTGCCGGATTGCCGAAATTTCCGATTGCCACACAGCCCTGGTGAGGACACGGGCGGGCTAGAGAAATAGGGAAAATCGTCATTACGTGTGCGAGGAGATCGTACGATGGCGTCATCAAACGATTTTGGAAATGGCTCGATGAGAACGAATGGGCGCAGGAAGAACAGGCAGAGGTCAAGAGATTGGACTTTATGGTGGAAAAAGTGGGAAAGGACAGCATGGCGTCGGCGTCCGCACTGAATTTCTACTTCGGAAAAATGGGAGACGGTTGGGAGAAGTTGGAGTCGAGCATCGTTAGGTGGGCGGCGAAGGAGAAGAAACCGGTGCAGCATAAGGAAAAGGCGACCCTGAAGCTGGTCCGGGAGCTGGCGGAGGCAGCGAGCTCAGTGGAGGAGATACGCACAGCTGTCGCGACAATCGTCTCGTTCGGAGGGTTGGTGAGAGCCTCGGGGGTGCTGGGCTTGAAAACGGGAGATCTGGAATGGAAGGATGAAGCGTTGACCCTTCGAATAAGGCGCTCGAAAACAGACCAGCTGGGAAAGGGAGCGGAGCTCCGGGTGGCGCTGCAGCCACAAGCTTTGGAAACTGGAATGGTTCAAGAATTTTGGCAGAGTTCCGCAAGGAAAGGTCAGAGTAGAGAGAGAGTAACGGAGACCATAGATATTTCAGGGCAGTCATGGCTGTTCGAGAGCAGGTCAACAAGGAAACCAATCACGCTGTCGACGTATCGGACCGGCTTAAGAAAACTTCTGGCAAAAGCGGGAAAGGAGACGATCGGAATCACTTCACACAGTTTCAGAGCGGGAGGAGCGACGACGTTGATGAAAGAAGGACAATCGGAATTGGAAATCCGGCGCCCTTCTCGATTATCTACAAGCACCGGAATCGGTCGCGCTACTAAATTTTCCCAAGTAGGCTATCAAACTTACCCCACCACCTGTTGTTTTGTTTTGTTTTACTAATATGTTCGGTTGTGAAGGTTCCGGAGGAGCCTATGATTTGTTGGAGATTATTCATTTGTTCGTTAGCCAACCCCAAAACGCGTTTTGCCTATCAAATAAAGCAATAAGTGAAGCAAAAATTGAGTTTTTCGTGAAATGCAATGAAAGGAAAAATGAAAATACGAAGTTTTAAAAAGCCCCCGTAAATCGCTGCGAGTATTACGGTAACTAACTCATCGTATTGCGTACAAAACGCAGGATTCCACGACACCTGGTTATTTTTCAACAATAAAATGGTACTGCAGCTAAAGATATTGAATTTGAGGTCTCGGCGCACACCGTTTCAGAAAGCACGCTCAACAGCTGCTGATTTTTGGTAATGTTCTTGACTTCCTCGACACTTACTAATTTCGAAATAGAAATAAGAATAACATCAGCGATCACGTGAAAATCGATATTCCGTTTGTTGTCAGGAATTTCCTTGGAGAAAAGTTGAAAACAAAGTTTCAGTGTGATATAAGTAATTGGTGAAATGAATACCGAAAAATACGAAATATAGAACATCGTAAAATGGATTATATTGATCGGATCAATATTTGAACTATAAGAGTTGCTTCTGGCGTCCATAATGATTAGTACTGAAAAATAGAACAATTTTGAATAATTTCTCCGAAAAGAAATTACTCTTGGCAGCTGTTGAATACACAAACAAAACAATGTATAAAACTTTCAGAAAATGCTCGAAATTATTCCTGAAACATTGTTTTTAATGTTTTAGAAAGCATTCGAAACTAAAGAATTAATTAAAATTTTGCAGAAACGCCTTTGACAAAACTTGTTTCACAAAAAAAAACTCACTTTTTAAATGAGAGATATATGGAAAAGTTGGGGAAAAAATAAAGAATTGTCGCATGCATTGAGTTCAAAAATAAAAGAACATTTTGAACGATTGAGAAATAAGAAACAGTAAAGAAAGCAATTGCAATCAGTAGGAAATCAAAGCCAGCAACTATCCGAAAGTGATTTCCTAAGAATGGAATCGTCAAACAAATCACATTGATAAATGAAAATAGAATAACAAAAGTTTGATTGAAACACACGAAATAGAATAAATGAATATTAATCGGGAATGTGGGCTTCTGAAAAAAAAACAAATGAAAAAGAATTGCCATTTTGATCTGATTTTTCTTACCTCATTTTCGCGCTTTCGATTATATCGGAATACACAAATATAAACAGAAAATATGATACTTTGAACTGCTAGCAATGATATTGGAACAAAACGATATTCTTGTTTTAAGCAGTCGATCGCGTCTCCTACTAACATCGATATAATGGAATAAAAGAAAAAATGAAGCAGGTGAAAAGTGTGTTTATAGGCGAATTTTGAAAAAAAAAATTTGTGCGTAAGCATGCAAAAAAATTAACAAAACAGACATCAGATTTTATTATAAAAATTATTTTGGTTGTAAATGAACGCGATTTGGTGATTCTGCGGTTTGGTCTCCCATTTTTCCCAGACAGCAGCTATTGAGCCAAGTCCTCAAATTCCATTGACGAATCGATAATGCTAATTTTAGATTTTCTCGATTGCATATTATAAAAGAGATTTGGACTAATAATATAGTGAATAGAACATCGAGAATGACAAAAAGGAAAAATATCTGAAGAATATATAAGCATGTTTTGGTTGAATTGAAGTTCAATTACAATATTATATCGAAGTACTTTTTGGCTTTCAATATTGAAGAAAGATATCAAATAATAACCGAGTGGTATTGTTATCTTAGCTTGGGAAATTTTTAATACAAATTGCAAAATCAAACTGTTACCAATTTTGAAGCGATTATCATTAATGTTTGATAAATTATATAATTTTCTGGTTTATTTCGTCTTTGGGTAATTCCGCATGCGATGATTTTTACGCTTATGAATATTGCCATATAAAATATTGGTGTCAAAAGGACAGAAAAGTAGGCGAAAATATAAATAGCGTAATAAGTCATTTCGAATATGTCCTGTTCATTGGAACGATTGAACCCAAAGCAGGTGCGAACTGTAAAATAATATTTAGTTTATTTTTGGATTTAAAGTTCACTCAATAACCTTTTACAAATATATTAAAAATTATCAAAATGGCATATATTTCTACAAATATTTTTTTTGTGATCTTTCTGAAACAAAACCGTTGGAATGGTCCTTTTGGTTCCACCTTACGCAAAGAGAAATTTTGAAAATTTCTCGAATCGCGGAACAAATGAAATGAGCAATATTTGAAGAGCCAACAAAAAAATGCAAAGATTTTCCATTGTGGCGATCACAATGAGAATTAAATAGACAAGTATTAGCGAAATAACAACAATTAAGATCAAACAGCCATTTTGGCTTATCGTGTACAATTTTAAGCAAAATATAAATAAAGCTATAACAGCGAGGACGAATGATTGTAAAAAGACAACTGTGTGGAATAGATGACGAATAACAGGATTTGAAGTAATCTAAATATAAAAAGGTATTAAGACGCATACAATTCATTTGTGCGATGGGTCTCAGACGGAACGGGACAATAGTTCTTCGCTACCAATTTTTCGCTCCGCTACCGGTTTTTCACTACCACATTTTCGCTACCGAAAAAATAGTTTTTTCACTACCGTTTTTCACTACCGTTTTTCACTACCGATTTTTCACTACCGTTTTTCACTGCCGATTTTTCACTACCGATTTTTAACCACTGTTTTTTCACTGCCGATTTTTAAATTTCTCAATTTCAAAAAAAGAACAATTTACACAAATAAAAGGGTATTCATCGAAAAAAGGGGTGGAGAGGAAATATAATATAGAACAAAAAAGGGCAAAAAATCATTCAATTTTTAAATTAACCTGATGGCTTCTGTCTTCAAAAGATCTTTAAAAATTCTTAAGAAACTATATTATGTTTTCTTTATATATACACCTCGATTAGCTGGTATTATTTAAAATTTGTGATGAAATCCTATGAAGTAGATAATTTATCCAAGTTCGTGCGCGGTTTGTCGTATTATCTCTGCGACTCATTCATAGTTATTATCGGGAACTTTCAAAAATTGTAGAAGCTGCAAAGCTTTCAAACTATTAATCTACTTGTCACGAACCCACTTCTAACGTTATTAAAAAATTATTTCTTTTCAGTTTTATCTAATTGCTAAGAGTTGATAGAAAATGATTGCGAGACCATTTCGAAAGACGCATTCCCGTAAATCTACCAGCCGCCGGACGTCGACTATATCTGAAAAATTATTTTTGAATAAATAACACAAGTACGAAATAATAGAAACACAAATCAAAAGTGAAACAGCGATAAAAAATTCAGTAACAGCAAATATATATTTTTTAATTTCGATTCCTGATTTTTGCCCAAATTCTCGATAAAAAACACTTTCATATTAGTTTTTGCTTAATATATAATTTAAAAAAATAACTTTTAATCAAAAAATAATATAGAAAAGAAGAAAAGTAAGCAAAACATTAAAAACAATGGTTGTAGGATAAAAATAGAATACGAAAATAAAAAAATCGCTGCGCGGAGTACGGTAACCGGTGCAATTATTATTGCGAATACATTCGTCGTGCAGTGTTTGCGGATTGCTTATTTTTTGACATTTCGAAAATATTTTTTGGCCTAAATTTATTTTTTATGGATTTAGTTTCAGATTTTACCTGCATTAAACATTATACTTAATTTTAAAAAAAAGTACATTTTTCAGAATGGCGTTTATTTCAAGCGATATATCTTCGAAGTCAACCAAAAGAGACTTAATTTCCATTTGGAACGGAATAGAGAAGCTTGAATCCTCTGAGAGGTATTTCGTCAGAGTTTTTTTCTCACTATTTGGACTTTTAGAACACTATTAACGATTGACGACGTTGCTAAGGAAATCAGAGGGGATTGGAAAGGCAGAAAATGCTTTGTTGTAGATAAAAGTAGCTATAATGGAAAACCGTTAACATACGACGGCTTAAAATGGTTTAGACAAGTTCAAGGTTGAAATTTGTTTCATTCGTCATAATCGCTTGCCGTTTAGGAGAAAAAAAATCGCTCCGAAGTATCGGCAATGGAATGAAAATGGACGTGTTTATGGAACAATCCAGTGCAGATCGCCGTCCACTGCGAGTTTCAGAAAAACTGTATGCAAATTTCTCTCGCTTTAGTTATCAATATAAAAATAAAATATTTGCAGGTAGTTTATATGGACGATTCGACTTTTGTTATCGTCGACTATCACCGCGATGAAGAACGAATTAGCTTGGATTTTGATATTCATAGGATGACAGGTTATTATTTTTTTTCTTTTTGTTAGATATATTATATTTTTTTAGCCTCAGAAGTTGATATCGTTCGAAGCGAACTGATTGGGAGGTCTGTAAAGAGTGCATATGAAATTCTACATAAAAAAGGCTTCAAGTTCTCGCTTGAGCAGGTATAAACACATTTTAAATCTTAAATAAGTTGAAACCTGCATGTTTAAGGTGAGGAACCAAAGGAAACACGTACCTGAATCGATTGGCTGCAATCGAGGCGTCAAAGCTATTGCCACCACATCCGAATTAGGAAAAATAGCGAGAAACGTTCCGAATGCAAAGTACAGCGTATTTGAGTGTAAGATTTTCGTTTCGTAATGACAAAAAGAAAATACTTTTGCAGGTAACGGTGGAATGGTAGATTGTTTGTCGGTTATTCTTGATGAACCCTTTCGGATTGTCTTAAACTGTTTACCGACTACTAACGAGTACGAATCTCACCTGAGATTGTTCGAAGACATAAACGAAAATAATAAAAAGGAACATATCCAATCACTATTAGGAATTCGATTAGTTGAAATATTTAAAATATAAATTTGTCCTTTCAGAACAATGGAAAGTTTCAAACGATGATGGATTTTTGTTCAGTGGTGTCACTCAGCTGGATACAACATTCGGATTGAGCGAGTTGTATGTCACTTTAATGTGCACCACAGTAAAGATATTCAAGTGAGTTTCATTGAAGATTATTGTTCTATTACAATTTTAAACTATTACAGGTCGAAAAAATCAAAAAAACCGAGAACTATTGTCATTAGCTATTTGTTGCACTCGAAAAAGACTATGGAATGCCACAAGTTTCACGCAAACCATGTGAACGAATACCTGCAGAAGCAAGGTTTCAAAAATGACCGCGTTGTGCCTGGATTCATCACGGACGGTGAAAAATCCTTTGAGGAATATTACAAGGTTTGAATGAAACCTTTCATTAATTTGAATGATCAAACGCGTTTACCATTTTTATCTTAGAGCGAAATTTTTAAAAATAAGCAAACAATTAACTCGCACCCACAAAAAACTAAAAACTTTTTGTTTTTGATTGTTTAACTTCGTTTTTATAGACAATCCCACTTTTTCGTAATTCACAACGTCTGCGTTGTGATTTGCATCGCATGGCTAATTTTGAAAATTCGATGTCCACAACGGATAAAACAACTCGCGCTCGACTGACCAGAATGGTTTTTGGTGAGGTACGTGGTTTTAATAATCAAATTTATGTTACCTCGGATAAAATAATTGGTAGCAATTTTTTTTAGATCTTATCTACAGTAACCTCAACTAAAAATGATTTAATTAATTATTGATAGTTTATTTTTATTTAAAACAATTAACTTTGAATAATATACAAAAATGATTACTATTACATTTTTTCAACACAATAATATACATAAAACCATAAACTCGCCAAGAAAACAGCGAAAGAAATTTAAAAAAATATATAATAATTGATTAAATAATTTTCATTTGAGATTATTGTAACTAAGATTCTAAAATTACTGTAGCGACTCGGTGTACGCACGAAATGCTTAGGATATCGCTGAAGTTTTTCACATTCGTCATTTTTCCACAATACCTGGCAAATCAATCAACATTATATTTCAGACATCACCTTCGAGGATTAAATGTGGATTGCTAGGCGCAGTAACCGAAATTGAATTCAATTCCAAACTCGCAAAACTCACGTCAATGATAAGCGATTCCGGTGCTCTTAAATGGTAAAGAAGCAATAATATTCTATTTTAAATTATGTTACATAAAAAATTATGATATTTACAACAAAACATAATTTGATATATTTAGTCTTTTTTCCGAAAAATAACGCGGCTTCTAGAACTACTCAAATATACTACTACATATAAAAAGAATATCTACTACATATAGATGTCATACTTGACGCCCCTTGACTGGAAAGTACATTTTTTGTTCATTCACATCGGCTTTAGCCCCACTTGGCCAGTGCCCAGTTTTTTAATGGTAATAAAAGCTCCTTAAATAACTGCAATTTTGCGTCAAGTTTACACCATCGCGTAAATTTTGAACTGGTTTAGGCTATCAACTGAAGGTCAGAGCCTTTTTCGTGAAAACGGGCTGTTAACGCGCTTGAAATCTGGATGGTGGCAGCCGTTCGTATCCACAAATCTAATCGAAAATTTAAACAGCCGATTACGCCATGAAATCCCTAATTCGATGAGGGCTGACCAACTTGCATTAAAGCTTATTAAAGTTTTTGGAGGTTTCTAACATGCAATTTTAGCAAAACCTCAAAAAAAAGTAATTCAGATGATGTAGATCATCTATACCAAGCTGTTTTGGCCGAAGATCAATTGGTTGTGTATTCTCGAAAAGACGAATTCAATTTTCTTTCGGAAAGTGAAAAACGGACCAGGCTTAAGGAATTGGGGTTCCAAGAACGGTCAACTGTTGCCATACCTCCCTATTTTCAGCAATGTAAGAAAAATAATTTTTCTATGAATTTTATTTACGTTTGATTACAGCAAATCCACCGAAACATCTTTACGAATTAGAGCTAGCTGCTAGAAAACTCGAATTGTATTCTATAGAATGTGGTTATTTTATAAAAAGTGAAACGTGGGTTTTACGTTTCTTTTAGTTATTCAATTATATTCAAACTCTTTTTAGTGAAATATCTGAAGTTAAATGTTCTGATTCTTTTTTCGAATGTTGCAAAAAGAATTGCCAAGCGAAACTTCCTAAGATTTGTGAGCATATGTATGTTGTTTTCAGTAATCTTCTAAAGTAAATCCTTATAATTTCAGTTTTTTTGTTTTAATATCAATGGAAAAGGAAGAAAGAGCCCTTAAGTTCGATTTACTGCAGTCGAAATGCCTCGAATTATCTGAAAGAAGAATGATTAAGGCATCACGCACTGCAAAAACTGGAAAAAAATCTTGTCCTAGAAAGAGGAGTGCGCTGAGCAAAATGAATGGAGTAAGACAACTTCAGTCGATTTCTAAGTATGTTTTTACTTCATATAATTGTATTTATTGATATTTTTAGTATTACGATCTTTGACGATTCGTCAATAAGTAATGATTTCGAACCAATTTTAACAAGTACGAGAAATGAAGAGAGCGTGGAGTCTTTGGAAAGTACATCATACGAAGAATATGGGTAATAATAAACCGACGTAAATATAACAAATGTCAATATGTCTTCAGAGAAGTTGAATCGACACAGAGTAGTCTTTTTAGACGTCCACAACGAAATGAACGAAGGCGCCGATCGTTCTCCCCGTTTTAATATTTTTTTTAGTTATGCTGTTTGGCCCCTTTTTTGTTCTATGTTATATTTCCTCTCCACCCCTTTTTTCGATGAATACCCTTTTATTTGTGTAAATTGTTCTTTTTTTTTGAAATTGAGAAATTTAAAAATCGGCAGTGAAAAAACAGTGGTTAAAAATCGGTAGTGAAAAATCGGCAGTGAAAAATCGGTAGTGAATAACGGTAGTGAAAAATCGGTAGTGAAAAACGGTAGTGAAAAACGGTAGTGAAAAAACTATTTTTTCGGTAGCGAAAATGTGGTAGTGAAAAACCGGTAGCGGAGCGAAAAATTGGTAGCGAAGAACTATTGGCCGACGGAACGTGGTGGACCACCGCACTTTTTGAGGGCGGAAATTCAAAATCGAATTTGTCTTTTTTTGTCCTCTGCAGAAAACTCATTGTAAATCGAGATTTTGGGAGAAAAGCTCATTTTTTTGCGAACGAAATATTTGTTTTAGTAATGTTTGGTATTTATAGTTTCTAGTCACATAAAAAAACGCATTTGTCTAAGAGAAGACATCCGTGCTATGCCCAAGGTTTGAATTCTACTCCTCGAACGAAGCGGTGAACGCGGACAAGAGGAAGATGAAATGGTCCGACTCGCTGTGGAAGAAGGTTACCACAATAACAAAAGCTGAGGCCATATTCATTCTGTGGTCTTCCCACGCTAACAAGTATCGAAAATCTTTGAATGATGTTGTAAGCTCCTCATGCGAAAAACGAATCAACTAAGTTCATTCCAAATGCCTACATTTATTTTTCAACCGCCTTTAAAAGTTCTTCGACCAGTTCTACCTTATACTAAATAAAGTTTGAAAAATTCATGCTCACCTTTCTGTTCATTTTTATGTTCAACTTGAATAAATAAATATACATGGGGAATATAACGCATGAAACTAGAAAATAAATTCCCGAATAAATCGCTATCGGAACGGCGATTGTTAAAATACTTCCATGTTCTCCAGCCAAAGTAAGATTAAAACGAATATTTGAATCATTATAAAACGTTGAAAACATTTCAAGTATGTTTTTTTATAAATAAAAAGGCACATTTGGTGAGCAGGTGAAATTGATGACCAGATTGACATCAATTCGCAACCAGAGTTGCACATTCTATGTTCGTTATTTTGTTGATCAGAAAATCATTATTTTTAATATTTTTTAATAACAGAGAAAATGTTAGTCCTAAATATCGCGATATCCTCAAGCCCAAAAATAAAAAATACGTTTATTTTAAGGATATAAGACGAGAACAAATTTTTGTGGATTTTTTCCCGTGGTGGTTTTTGACAAATGATTTTCCAGCTTACGGTATTTTTAAACGAAATTGCATTATAAAATGATAACAACGGTTATAGTCCGCAAACGTGCCCTATTGAAGTGCCTCGTTGTATAGCACCCTCTCACTCTCCCTCTATCTATGCTTCTCGCTTTTTTTCTCTGACTCTCCTACAAGTTGCAATCTTCTTCTCTGCGAATCATATTCTTTTTCTCGACGGGTCTTATATTTCTCTATTGTTTGTAGCATGATCCCGAAGCACTATTAAGCTCGCGTTTCCCTCATTTTGGCATTCTATTTGGTTGTCTCAGTTAAGTCATCGCTGGCTATTCGTACTACGGCACCAGGCTTGTGTGAGATTTTTCGTTCTGCAGAACAATGGAAACGGTCAAAGAAAAAACTGTTACGGTTTTATTTTAAAAAAAAGGGAAAAGGAAAACCGAATTTCTTTTTTCTTTCTCCGCGGAAAAGAAATTTCATACAGTTTAAATAGAAATTTGAATTACCGCCCCGAATAGAATATGATAGTCCACAATTGTTCAAAGCGGTAATATGTATTACCTATTATTGAAAATATTATAATTTATTTCATCGAATTACACAATCTACATAACATGGAAGAATAAGGAGGAAGCAATAATGAAAATAAAAATTAATGTCATTTAAAAACACATCGTTTCAGTGATCTTTTTTAAAACTATCTCGTTACTGTTCCAGATGGTATCTCTTGTGGCTCCCCTCCACAAAAGCATTGAACCAATGTAGAGCGATTCCAAGAATTAATCGATAATGCAAATCGGAGATTATCCCGATTGCATATTATAAAAGAGATTTGAACTAAGAATGGTGTGCAGAGTAAATCGATAAAAACAAGAAAGTAAAACACCTGATAAATATTGTTCGCTTATTATATTATATATATTTTTTTTCAAATCGGGACTTACAAACATGTTCGCATAAATTTGCAATTGATCCTGATCGCTGAAAGCTGCTAACAGGTAGCAAACATAAGGGATGGAGAACTGTTAGATATAATATTTGGTGTTTTTTAAAGAGGAATTACAAACTTACAATTTTTGAAATAACAATTATGATGGTTTGATATATTATATAATTTTCGGGTTTGTTTCTTCTTCTTTGGACTCCTGATGTAATAAATTTGACGCTGATGAAAATTACGATATAAATTATCGGGCTGAGAAGAACCGAAAAATATGCGATTAAATACGTCGCCATATAAATAATATCAAAAATGTCATTTTCGAAAAAATATTTCAATTGAACAATGGCACGAACTAAAACAAGGATTTGCATCTGACAGTTTTTGAACACTCATTACCCTTGATAAATACATTCAGAGCAATTAGAACGGTGTAGAGTTGAAGAAAGAAACATCTCACACTTTTTCTTAAACAAAAACTTTCGTTTCTTTTAAAATTGAAATCTGATTAACTCATTTCTAAATGTTAAAAATCGCTCCAGCCGAGGAATAAATGCAATAAAAAGATGCTGAACAGAGAGAATAAAAATACAAATATTCTCAACCACAATTATAATTGTCGACAATGAATAGAGTAGAAGTACGATGAGACAAAAGATGAGAATTAAATATGGCGCACGCTCAAATAAATTGAACAAAACGCTGATAAACAGTAAGAATATAAAGCATAAAACAGATGTTTGAATAATTAAAACAGTTTTGAATAAATGACAAATCACAAAGTTTGAGGTGATCTACAAACATTAAAACTTTTGTGCAATTTTTGAGAATATCCGACCTTCTTCCCTAATTTCTTGTTGAGCTTGAATAAATAAATATACAATGGGAAAATTATTGCCGATAAGGCAAAATAAATAGCAACATAGATCATGCCTGACACAATGACTGCGTATTTTTCGAATATTTTATCATAATCGAGCTTGAAATCAGTGCTGTTGACCGACGACATCGAGAATGAAAATCCCGATGTTTTCTGGCAGATGTTTTTTCAAAAAAAATGCAATTTCGTAACGTATAAAAAAGACAGGTTTAAGTCAACTATAAAATAACATGTCTCTATTTAAAGCTTAGAAAAAACTATTTTATACAAAACTTTTATTATATCGCTTATTAAATTCATATGATGATACTATGCAGATTTTGGGAAAAAAAAACTCCAAAAAACTGTGTAATACGAATTTTCTCCGCAATCTGACTTTGATTTTTAGTGATTTTTTCGAGTTGTTTTCTCCCAAAATCTCGCCAAAGTACCATTAAAATGATTAGCTAAAACATTATCCGAATTGCAATTGAGATACCAACAACTAATGGAAAATAAATATCACAGCTTCTCATTTCCAGATATGCGAATCAACACCGACAATATCGAAAATTTGCTTCATCTGTGCGTGTTGAAGTGGAGGAACACCCGGCAAGATTTCAGGCAATGTTGAACAACTCGAGTTTGCGACATTTAATGGAATGTCTGAAACATATAAATATTATTCTCGTACAACTCCCCTCAATATCTCACTTCTATCATTGGCATATAACAAATTTGCATAATCTTCGCGGTCAAACGAAGTTTTTGGAGCAGGCTGACGCAGCTTATGGTTTATTGGATAAAAATGACCCTAGAAAGGGAGATTAGAAAAAGAAAACCCACATTGAATTCACCTCTGTGTTAAATAATATTCTTTCTTGATGCTTATTAACAGGATTATCATGGTCAAATAACTAAATTATCATTAAAAATTTCCAGGTAATCAACTATCATTTTTTTGTACCAAATATAGATATTTCATAGTTTCTGCTAAAAAGAACGATTCCATTCGGTCCTCTAATGATCCATCTTGAACATCATGAACCGTTGCAAATCCACACTTTACTCTCGTGATTCTGTCAAGAGATTCCATGATCTCCATACCAACATGCAAATAAAATGGATTTTTTGAGGCAGTGTACCTAAAAAAAAGCAATTTCCAAAATAAAATCCCATTATTTAACATACAGGAAATATGTCGATTCAACGAATTCCGGTCGGAGAGGATAAAAATTGACATCAGGAGCTTGCAATCTCCAGTTGTATCTTTCCGGCAAAACGCCAAATTTTTTCCAAATTGCGTAATAAAATGCGTGATGACAAACAGCTTCATCGATATATCCAGCCAGAACGAGAACACCCGAAAAACTCGCCTGAATTCGATAAAATTCAAAAAAAAACCCCCATGGAATTGTTCAGTCACCTGCAAAGAATCGACCCAATAGTTCGTTGTGCTTCCATCTCTCGCATCAACGTTCACATAAATCGGAGGTTCGCCTTCGGAAGAAAGACACGACGATCTTCCCCTTCGCATGTATTCGCCGATTCTTGCGAATGATTCATTGAACATTTGCAAATCCGATTCTTGTCCGAACATGATGTACGATTTGAGAAGGTACTCGTAGAACGAATCGATGCCCGCTCCGATTCCCGACAAATGTCCAACCCATTCACCGGTATGAATATTCAACAAATTTCCTGCAAATTTTACATATCGTCGTGGGCGGGCGAAAAAAAAAATTGAATTGGACTATCCCACCGTTTAATAGATTCCTCATAAAATCAAATGCGATGATACGCGAAAATTCGAAAAACTCATTTAAAAAATATGCTCTTTCAAATTATGATAATTTATATTGAACACAACTCGCTATTAGCAGATTTTCCATGCAACATCCAGCGTTGTCAAAAAGACGGAAACTATACGCAGATGTTCACAATGAAATTTCTCGTGTTCAAGGGGCTCCTGGATCGTCCATGAGCTAGCATTATACAGGGTGTCATTTAAGTTCCCGCACAACTTTGAAAACGTATATTTCTGAAACTAAAAGTCCAAATCAAACGAGACTTGAAATATTTTTTATCTATAGTATAACAAATAATTATCTAGTAACTCTTTTCGATTCGGCCTCCTTTCGCCGCTATGACTTCACGGAGACGCTTCGGGTAGGAGGCGACGGTGGTACGCAGGTATTCGATGAAAGATTGTCCCATTCCGCCAGTAATGTCTTCTTCAGAGCCTCGACACTTGAGTGGGGTTTTGCGTTGACCTTCTCCTGCAAGACTCCCCACACGGAGAAGTCAAGCGGGTTCAGGTCTGGGGAGCAAGCAGGCCATTCAGATGACTTGATGAAGTCGGGAAAATGGGTCTGGCACCACTCCTGAGTAGTTTTGGCAGTGTGCGCGGGTGCTCCGTCCTGTTGAAAGACCCATTTCTGCCCACCGAAATGCGTTTGGGTCCAGGGCATCACATGCTTCTCCAAAATGTCCCGAACGTAGACTTCTTTGTTCACTTTCACCCCCTGATCCACGAAAACCAGGGGGCACTTCCCGGTTGAGCAGATGGCACCGAAAACCATCACACTGGCAGGATGTGAGGCTCGATGAATTGTTCTGCCTTTCTCAGAAGCTTGCTGGGATGTCTGGGCAAGTACTCGATGATTTTGTGGATTGAATGCCGCCTCCACAGTGAACAGCTTCTCGTCGGAGAAGACAGTGACGAGGTGTTCTCCAGACCGCGTGCGAGCAAGAAGTCGTTTTGCTTTTTCGTAGCGTCTCTGCTTGTTGACGGCCGATAGAATTGCCGCTTTTTGGACACGATATGGGGTCAGTCCAAGCTTCGTTTTGACAATTTGTTCCATAGCGAAGATGCTCATTCCCATGTCTGACGCCATCTTTCTCATGCTCCTGTGGGGGTTTCGCCTGATCCTCGATTTGACGGCGTTGATCTTCTGAGGAGTGGTTACCGGGACGGGTCTTCCTTGTCTGGGACGGTCACTGGTTGTATTTATCTCCTTGAAACGTTTGATGGTGTCATAAACCGTTCTACGAGGCACACCGAGGCGTTGAATGATGTCTCTTGGGCTCTCATTTTGCTTATAAAGTTCGATAATGGAAGCGCGATGGATGTTAGCCTTCGCCATTTCTCTGAAACCCATCCAAATGAGGTGAAACTTGGAAAGTAAGTAAAATATACCTTATTTAACAGAAATAAATTGTATTGGTGCACGAAAAGTGCGTCAGCGAAGCTCTTCATGACGTCAAACTTTTGTGCGGGAATTTAAATGACACCCTGTAGAGCGCAGGGCTCCCATTTGAACAAACCTGCGAGATCTAAGGCAACAGTTTAAATTTTAAATCAATAAAGCCAAAAATTCGTCCGTTCACAACGACACTTTTTTTTCAAACACCGATCTTTGTTTGTCGAATATTTTAAATCTTTGGTTGTGTTCTCATAGCAGGTGAAAAAAAAACATGTATGGAAATCATAAGCCTCGAATGTATGTTTATAACATTATGATTTGTATTCTGTTTTTATTTAGGGACTATTTTTCCTCACCATGCAACCCAGTTTGCGCATTTCTTAATTCCCATAGCTTCTTGATCACTTTTCTCGCCAATTTCTCGTATTTCTCGTCGCCGAGAAGCCTGGAGAGCACTCCGAATTCCAAAACAAGCGTTCCTGCACCGGATGTGCACGTGTCATTCACTGTTCCGGGCAGAACGCCTTTCATTAGATTCACCCGACAGTAGGGAATTCCTTGAATTTGACACATCATTGGTATTCCAACATTGAAATTTTTAAAAAAATCAAACGCACCTGTTCCAGTATTCTCGAATGCCGGGAGAAGCCTTTTCGCAAGATCATGTGCAAGGGCAAGAAGCTCGCCATTATAATTTTTCATATAAAAACTTCCAAATTTGTTCGAAGAATCACTAGCAATCATATGAGCTGACAAAAGACCGCCCATAACTCTGAAAAAACAAAGTTGAATTTTGGAAAAGATGGAAACTCAGGTAAATCAAATAAAATATTTTGAGATTCATTGAGAAACTAACGTGTCTCTAAATATAACAATTTCGACTTTTCTCAATCAACTTTATAAATTATTATAAGTTTTTAGAACTTATTGAGATAATTTAGAATTTGCTCAATAAATTTTGGAAAATCTTATAAAATTTTAAAAAGTATTTTTAAGTTTAGCGAGTCTCAAGAAGTTTTAGAAAGCATCAATAAACTTTAGAATTTCTCAAAACATTTTAGAGTTTTTTATTGAATATTTGATTTTCAAAATATTTTATTTGATTTGCCTGAGAAGATTTAACCTGATAGTTGATTCAAACACCTGTACAGTTGTATTCCTTTCAAAAGAAACATGCTTGATGACCAAATTAACAGCGGTCTTAAAACCTTGCGTATCTCCTGAATAATTTTAAATTTAATTTAGAAATTACTCTATTTTTGTACCAAAAACCACTAGCGAATCTAATGTATCAATTAATGTGAGAGAATAATCGCCTAGAACATCGTTTATATTTAAATTATCCCTAAAAATGAATTGTTTGAAATTCAAAATCATCGAATTTTGAGTTACGGATTCGAATGATCCGCCCCTCGTCCACGACAATGAATTGGATCAAGTTCATCGGCCGGAAAGGCATATTTCATATAATTGTCCCAGCCGAAGTAAAACATTTCCTTTGATTTTGTCTTGGCATATTCGCGGTTTTTCTAAATCAAAAGTTAATGGTTTGATTTGTCAAAAAAAAGAGAAAAACCTCCGAGAATGTGGAATATTTTATTTCCTCGTCAGTTAATGTGAACAAATTTCGATTTGGATTGGCAGCAGTGAGAAACGAAAAGCAATGAAAAACGAATATGAATTGCGTAATTGGTAGGTTGAAGACTACATGTCGATTGATCTGAAAAATCGAAAACTCATTCATCTTTTAATATCTTTTCAAAATTTTGCCGTTTCAGACAAAACATGTGGACCTGAGATCTATAATTATAATTTTTCGATGAAATTCCGACCATAAATCAATTTTCGAGCAGATGTTTTATAGGACTATTCGAAAACAAAATCTTTCGCGTATCTCATTTTTTGAAATTTACTTTTTCAAATGTTTCTTACCATATTATTATCATAATCCTTTTAGCCTTTCAATAATTCCCAATGAAATCTGTAAATGTGGAAAATTTAACATCGTTATGTTGAAAAGCGCATCAAAATATTGAAAAGCGAAGAGAGACACAAGAACCCCCGCTATGCATAAAATCAATAAAAAAAATGGACACGTATAACAACAATTCGAACAATTTATAACTGCCTGAGAAAAACACATCTAAACAAGGGAATAATGCAGGAATAAAATGAAAAAATCCTATTCTATAGATGCTTTTGAAAGCTAGCGATGAGTTCACAAGATGAGGGTACATGACTAGCAAAAAATGTCAGGAGAAAAACAGAAAAGGTAGGTAGGTAGGTAGGTAGGTAGAATACATTTAGTTGAGCAATTATTACCGGTTCTAATTCGATGAAGAAGAGAAACGGGAGAAAAACCATCGAAAAATACAGAAACAACACAAATTACATATGTTTATGGAATTCCTCGTATATCGCCATCACTAGGGCACCACCAGCGCTTCTGTAATGTGAAAAGTGAGAGTTATTCTAATCAATCGCAGCATTTGTTAATTCAAATTCGAAATGAACAGCAAGAGAGCTTTCTTCGAGAGATTGGTCACGTGCGTCGTTATCAGTAGCAATGGCTACCGAAAAAATAAAAATAAAAAAACCTCGATCGTTTTTTTTTCAATTAAATTTATCAAACACGTTGTGTAAAAATTTTTCTCCAACAGAAGATTCTAAATCATTTTTTTTCCGAATTCGCAATAGAAAATTATTTTGTTATTTCCTTCAGCAAAAGGAAACGAAGAAAGGGGACGAGGAATGGCTTTTATTTTTGGGCCTCCACCATTTCCGACGTCATTTTTCGCATTTCAAATAAATATAAACGTGATATAACTTTTAAAAAAAGTGGCATTCAACAAAGTTTTTTTGTTTTTAATGATTTCATCTTTGTAAAATTTGAGTTTTTTTTCTAAAAACAATTACCTGAAAATATTTGCCAGCGCTCCTTTGTATAATCCTCGAACTCCTTCTTCTCTTGCAATTTTCTTCGCCGCTGAAAACGCTTTTGCTGTGCTCAATTGACCTTTGACCATCATTCGCCTTCTCACAGTGTCCCATGGATACGTCAAATAGCCCGAAAATACAGTAACACACTGGAATTTTGGATTGCGATAAACAAAAAGAAACGTGGCAAAATCGCGTACTTGTGCAATTCCAAATGATGCATAAAATGGTAGTTTCTTCTTGTCGGTGTTGATCGTATTACGAATCGCGTCATAAAGTCCGAAATAAACCGAACGATAAATGAAATATGTCTAAATGATATTTTTCAAAATTTAAGAACAAACACAGAAAAATGAACCTGAAGAGAAATTGGAAATCCCCTATAAAGTGCGCCGACACCTTCTGATTTGATTGTTTTGACTGTACAATCGACTAATCCTTTGTATTCACGAGTTTTTGAGGTTCCCATGTCAGCAGCAAGACGAGTACGAATGAAATCCAATGGATAGACGATGCATAACGACGAACAACCGGCTAATCCTCCAGATATTAATGTTCTGGTACTGTATGCGAACACATTCTGTAAGAATTCGCATTGGATTTTTGAAAATGATAATTTTTACATTTTCCCTCTTCACATTTTTCAGTAAAATGGATTTATACAAGTCGTTGAACGCAAAATTGAACGCCTGGGTTGGAAAATAACGAATGACATTTGTCATGTTACCCCTCCAAAACGAAAGAAACCCTTGCTCTTTTGGCACCCTCCGAAATGCGTCGATAATTCCATTAAAACGCTTCTCTTCTGGAATATCCTTATGTGAGTATTGCACCTGAAAAAATAATTGTAGGAAAATTTAATTTGATAGTCAAACTTACTTGTAAAAGCAATTTTACGCGTTCAATCGGAGCCACTACGGTTTTTGAAGCGGATGCTGAAAGCCCTCCGATCAACAGGTCAATAACAAATCGTTTTGCATCATTCTTTTGGACTGGAACTACTGCGGCGGAAATCGAAGGAGCTGCTGTCGTCGTCGTCATTTATTTTTCATTGCATCAATGGCCAACAGTTACACTGAAATAAAGGCAAATTACTTATCGTCTTGCATCATTTTAATAATTACGGCATTATAATAATTACCACAATTTATAGAATTTATATAAATTTTGTAAGGATAACTGATGAAGATTTTTATTAAACATTAACTAGCTTAACGACAAAGCTTAAAATTATGGGTAATTACGAATAATTAACAGAAATTGAAAGAAAAATAAAAATAAGTTGAAATGTCGTAAGGTGTGGTGTTTGCACATCGTGCGTCATATTTGACGACTGCTGTAATTCTTTACAATTTCCCCAATAATTTCACAATTTTGCGCAATTTTCAAATTACATTTTTTTGATTTTCGTTGTAAGACATAGAGCATTTTTAGGGTACATAGAAAACGCCGAAGCCTGCGAAATGGTGCTCGACATGGATCTTTTCCGCGAAGAGAAGGGTAAATTTTTTTTTATTTCGTGCCACAATAAATAAATGAATTCCTAGAAATTCGTAAATGGTTCAGATCTCTGGTAGTTCAAAATAAATTGGTTCCGGAATCAATATAATTTTACTAGAAATTCTATGAATACGATTGTAAAATTTCGATATTTTCAGATCCAATCGGTAATTTGTCGAATCCGATTGGTTTTGAGGTACCCGAGATAGTGGAATTAGTTTCAAGAAAATATTAGGTTTTAGAAAGAAAGGTTACGCTTAAGTGACAAATGTACTCATAAAATAGAAAACTCGGAAAATGCATTACTATTCCCATATATGTTTGAAATTCTATGTTGATTTCAGGTGGAAACCCGGAACTCATTCGTGATTCGCAAAGAAAACGCTACAAGGATCCAAAGCTTGTTGATGAAGTTATTGCACTTGATCAGCAATGGAGAAAAGAGCGATTCATGGCTGATCAGCTGAATAGACAAAAAAATGTTTTCAGCAAGGCTATCGGTGAGAAAATGAAGGTAATTTGAATTAAAATCTAAAAACGAATACAATATTTTTTGATATAGAAAAAAGAGCCACAAGGCGACAACGATAATGTCGATGACGCTATCGTCGCGAAACTCGCTGATCTCAAGCTTGACGAGCTTAGCCAATTGAGCGTTGTGCAAATTAAGAAGCTCAGAGTTCTTGTCGATGAAAAGATGGCTGAGTCAAAAGCGTCAATGGAAGCCGCCGAAATCGCTAGAAATGAGAAATTGATTCAAATCGGAAATTTGATTCACGATTCTGTTGTTGTTTCGGATAACGAAGACAATAACAAGGTTGAGGCCACTTTTGGAGACATCACGTCAAGGAAAAAATACTCTCATGTAAGTTACTTTTATATTAGTCTTTTTGTTCTGATAGTTTAGTCTTTCAAATTATGTTATTCGTTTCAGGTCGATCTCGTTGTCATGGTAGACGGATTCGACGGGGAACGCGGAACTGTCGTTGCTGGAAATCGTGGCTACTTCCTTAAGGGACCACTTGTGTTCCTTGAACAAGCCATCATTCAGCTTGCACTCCAGAAACTTCTCAAAAAGGGTTTCACTCCACTCTACACCCCATTCTTCATGAGAAAGGAGGTCATGCAGGAGGTCGCCCAGCTTAGTCAATTCGACGAAGAGCTCTACAAGGTTTCCGGAAAGGGCTCTGAAATCGCTGGAGATCAAACGATCGATGAGAAATACTTGATCGCCACTTCTGAACAGCCGATCGCTGCTTATCACCGTAACGAGTGGATAAAGGAGTCCGAGCTACCAATTAAGTATGCGGGAGTCTCGACATGTTTCCGACAAGAAGTTGGAAGCCATGGTAGAGATACACGAGGAATCTTCCGGTATTGAATTTTTGATGAGAATCCTCGTTAATTTTCGCTATCTTAAGTGTTCATCAATTCGAAAAAATTGAGCAGTTTGTTTTGTGCAGCCCAAATGATAACGAATCATGGAAACTTTTCGAAGAGGTAATAATTTAAAAGTCTTCAAAGTATTGTGATATTTTAAATTCAATATTTAAGATGATCGGAAATGCAAAAGAATACTACGAGGAGCTTGAAATCCCATACCAAATCGTCAACATCGTATCTGGGGAACTCAACAATGCAGCGTCGAAGAAATTCGATTTGGAAGCTTGGTTCCCAGGATCCGGAGCTTTCCGTGAGCTGGTCTCATGCTCAAACTGCTTGGATTATCAAGCTAGACGTCTTCGTGTGCGATATGGACAAACGAAAAAGTTGGATGGAGAGGTGTGTTTTTTTTTCAATTATTTCAATTCAAGCAAAAACGTTTTTCCACTTTGTTAAAATGATTTTCAGGTTAAATTCGTTCATATGCTTAACTCAACAATGTGTGCTACTACTCGTGTCATTTGCGCAATTCTTGAGAATAACCAAACCGAAGAAGGAATCAATATTCCAGTTGCCCTTCAACAATTTATGCCTGAAAAATATCGCACCCAAATTCCATTTGTTAAGCCTGCTCCAATCGATGAAGAGCAAAAGAAAAAAGGCGGAAAGTGAATTATGCATTTTTTATTGCTTGTTATTCGTTTTTTTGTTCGGTGTTTATGCTTGATTTTTATTTATTTCAAATAAATTGGGATCACAGAGCGAATTATTTCTTTCTTCATTCTCGCTCTCAATCTGTATATGCCTTCTGTACAAGAGAAACGATTAGTTTATTTGCACTTGACATATGTGGCGATGTGTAAAGCGAGCGAATATTTGCCGAGATGAAATGAGCCGACCATGACGAGCTCTCTGTTTGACAGGATATGTGCATCTGTCTTAAGCATGACCTGGTAAGAGTTTAAAGGCGCGCAGCGGGGCTCCGCGAAACCGGAAATTAAGAGATTTGAATAATAATGATGCGATGGGATGGAATTACAGATTCCGCCAAATACGTCTGCGATTCTGAATTCTTTTCGCATTTCATCAATTTTCTGCTTTTTTTACGAAATTCTCAATTTGTGCTCACTGTGAGCATTTATTGATTTTCATTTTTGGCGAGATTTCGCTGGATTTAAATATTCAAGATTTAAATATTCATTCAAGAAAATTCTGAAAAAAAGAGTAAGGAAATAAAAATTTAAAAAAAAATATTTTTTAGTTCGTTGAGAATCAATAAGAATGAAATAATTTAGCAATTTCTTGTAATATTAGAATTTGTTACAGAATATTTTATTCTAAAAAATTTTTCATTTTCCTAACTTTTGGAGGTAGGGGCTAAATCTTTGAAGGTCCATATCTCGATAACTAGAAGGTTAATTCCTAGTTAATTCGATTGGAAATTGTCTAAAGAATTTGTATGCAAAAATAAAAAAAAATTTTAAGACGGACTGCAAAAAGATCATCCTTGTGAGGAAAAATTGTTCCAATAACTTTAGACTCAATTAAAAGGTTCCTTAATTCTTAATGATTAAATATAATTATAATATTTAAGATTATGCCTGTTTTCGACGAATTTGAAAAATTTGTCAATTTGAAGCTGCTGCAAACGATGCAGCGCAAAGTTCAACAATTTTTCTTTTTGTCCACCAAAAATCGCATTGTTAGATTCATTCCAAATTTTCAACAAAAACTGTGCAAATACATTATTTGCACAATGTACATATGTAGGCAACTGGTTCGAGCAGCTTATCGGCTATTGGGCGTGGCCGCCATATACGGTAGAAGAGCACAATTAATGGCATAATCTTCGCGCGGTGCTCTTCTCGCAATGTTGTCGTCGTTTCATGCGCCAATTCAAAATAACTCCAATGGTAAATTCATTTTTTAATTAATAATTATTGGAACGTGTTCCTAATATCATATGAATGTTTAGAATGTGTTCCGTCGTCTTCTGAAGATCGTCGAATTCGCCGAAATCGAACCGCTTTCACAGATGAGCAGCTTAAAATGTAAGATTTCGCACATTTTCGTGATTAACGAACTTGTCCTATTTTTTTTTCAGATTGGAGAGTATGTTTGAGCAATGCCAATATCCGGATATTGCTCAAAGAGAGAAAATAGGAAAAGAAATTGAGCTGCCCGAAGCAAGAATTCAGGTAATGAAAATAAATCAATATTCGAATGGTTTGCTTCAAATTAATTAAATCGAAATAAAATAGAAAGTACTGTCTGTCTTAAATATTGTAATCGTAACTCGAAGCGTATTGAAGGTTTCTTTTTAATTGCCATATTATTTTCTTAATGGGAATCTAAAAAATCGTGAATATATGGCGCGATGTCCGGGATTCAGTTATTCGTATTACGGTACCCGAATTCTCACAGTTTAATTTCAAATTTGAATTACCGCCTCGAAAAAGTGCGGTAGTCCACAATTTCTCAAGATGCTCGTTTTTTGGCGATGATAATATTGTTTTACCTAATTGTGGACCACACCTCTTGGAGGCGGCAATTCAAATTCCAGGGGTGGGGGGGATTACAGGGTGCGGCAAAATTACGCGTGCGCGAATTTATCGCAAGCTCATACACCACTTACTCCTCATTTTTTGTGTATTTTTCTATTTTTATTTTATTTTTTGTGACCTTCTAATCAGTTTTAAAAGTTTCATGGAAAATCGTTTCGTTTGGCAGGAATGACAACTCATTCAATCCGCTGAAATCAAAGGGGAAGATCGATGATGCTGATTTCAAACATTCGTGGAGTGCATCGAAACACTTTACAAAACACTTGGAAACAATTTTTGGAGACAAAAGGACTCCCTAGCCGTCTCGGAAGAGGAATAAAATGATCTTCATTGGTATCGGGGCGAGTCAAGGCCATCAAGGAACGGAAGCGTCGAAATCATTATCGGAGCATAAGAAAGTTAGCGTGGAACGTTCGTGCGAGTGCAAAAATAGTGGGAAGAATGGTCAAAAATGAGCTGAACATGACACCTTATCATGTCAGAAAGGCCGTCATTCTAACTGAAAACAATAAAGAAGCTCGACCCAAAAAGTTCAAATCCAAAGCAACCGAGTCCTCGCAAAGCTATTTGAGGAAGCAATGACCAAAAACAGAACCATTCATTGTGTTTCCCATTCTCAGAAGATCATGGTATTCTGTGGAATAAACGTCGGCGGCAAACTTCATTGGTTTTCGTTGATCCTGGCGTTAAGATTTTTCAAAAACGAGATCTTGAAGAAGAGTTTTCTTTCTTGGTCCCAAACTCACTTTGGAAATCGATCGTCGGCGTTTCAACAAGACAGAGAGCGTGCTCATCGAGCACTAACCGCCCAAGACTGGTGTGGCAATCATTTTCCTCATTTATCACGTCAAAGAAATGGTCAGCTTCATCGCCCGAATTGAACCCCACGGACTATTCTGTTTGGGGATCTTGCAAGTGAAAAAAATCAGCCTTCCAACACCTAAATTGGTCTGAAAGCGATTTTTTAAAATCGAGGAGGAAGAATCGAAGAAAGTGGATTGGTATTCTTATATGTTACATTGGTATTCTTATATGTTACATTGGTATTCTTATATGTTTAATAAAGTTTACTGTCAATTTGAACGAGTCCTATGAAAAGTTATTTCGTTTTTTCGATGCACACGTAATTTTGTCGCAATACGATAACTAGCGCAATTCTGTTCTGCGCAAAATTTTCGTTCATCCACAATATTATTTTGTTTTTCATTTCTTTTTGACTCTTCTCGAAGAAAACAGAGAAATCAAAAAACTGAAATAAAGCGAAAATTCTAGAAAGTTTATTATCATCAGGAAAAATCTTCTGTCATTTAGATCATTGAAACTGATTAAAAATATTTTTAAATTTGTTTTTTTATATTTAATTTTTTTTAGGTTTGGTTTAAAAACCGTCGAGCTAAACAACGCAAGAGACAAAGAAATGAGAGCCCAATTGATGACGATGTCGCATCTCCAGATTCTGACGAAAATCTGAAAAAGCATAAGGAAAACACTATTATAAGTACGTCATTTCTTCTCTTTTGCTCAGAATTATTTGAAATTACAGCCTGGACACCTGGCGCAGCGCTGAAATCAATGCTACCAACAGAGCCGCCGCACTTCATCGCAAATCCATTCTTACAGTACTACCAGAATCATCAATTTACAGTAAATATTAATCATTTTGTTATTGTAATTTCATAGGATTATGTACCCTTGAATGCGTTCTATTGACTTTCGGATTACACACTGATTAGGGTTTGAACACTGTATGTACAGACACACAATGTTTGTATGTGTCAAGAGGGTCCAACAAGATTGATTCGACCTCCGTTTTTTTTTTTGACGGGCAAATGGTTTTGGATTTCAGATTGCTGCGGCGCTGGCCAAGAACGGACCAATCTCCTCTTAAGGGCTCCTATAAAGACGGCACTTCACGTTTTTACGCACATATATAATGTTTAACTAGTCCAACTTTATATTCGATTTATTATAAAACTGTGTATCTTTCAATTTGCTAACGTACGTATAAAATAAATTAAAAACATAAAACCAATATTGAATGAAAATGAGAATAAAGTCACATTTCCCAACATATAATGCGTTTTTAGCTAATCAAATTCGGTTGTTTCAAATTTTCTGCTGGATGAGATTATTTATAAACGAAGCAGTGATAAATTTTAAATATTGATAAATTCATAATTATTTCGAACTATGTCTAATTTTTCAAGTATAATTCAATTAACTTACAACTTTTAAAGAATAATTTCCTTTTATTGAATTTTTGAAAACCCACTTTTACACAAAATAAATTCACGAAACACAGGACCACACTAATACCAATTGGCATTGGGGACCATTGAAAATAGGATAATTGTTAGGTAAAAATCGATAGTGAAGGATTGCTAATTACATTGTTATGGGAAATCAATAGATTCTCGCCATGGATCCGATTAATGTAATTAAGGGATAATCAAGTTGAAAATTAAATTAAATTAACCAAAAACTCGATGTGCAGGTTTTACTGCTGTTTATACTAACATTATTCATATAAGGAATAGAAAAAAAACCTGGAATTCCATGAAAAATTTCCACTTTAAAAATATAGCATTAGAAACATTTAAATATAAAATACGCAAATTTGGGAAACAGTGTTTGCACAAATTTTCATTTGGATATTCTAAATATCAAATGCAACAAAGTCAATAGCAAAAAAAAAACTAAAAAATAAATAAACATTTGCGAAAAAAATGTATAGCAAATTTGCACATACCGATACCACCTATCTAATTGACGATAGCATTTTCGAGAACACGAGATCATTCTGATGAGTCCAGAAGATTTGTCGTCGATTTAAAAATATAATTCATATGGAAATGCTAACATAACAGTGAAAGATTCGTTCCGCAATTTGTGTGGTGACAACTAAAAATAGCCCCCAGCGAGGTGGTTGTGTTATCTCAAAATTGATCATATTGTGTTCGTGATTTCGAGCGATGTTCCAATGCTATTGATTGATGATCCTTCTCAATCATTTTTTTTCGTCGTCGAGTTCGTGTTTGGTGCCGAATCTACACGACGATCAAACACAATGTGTCAGTCTTGCAAAAACGCAAGAAACTTGACAACGCCTGACCTTTTATTGCAAATTATAAACGACACGTTTATCTGATTTACGCGTTGGGCCGTCGAGCGCGCGATCACCCCCCCCCCCCCTCCTGTCCTACAGTAATGAGGCGCCTAATTCGTTGCGCCTGATTTATTGCCCACACACAACTCATCTCATGTTATTTTTTTTTACTGAGGACCCCATTCTCTATTTTCAGTGGCTCGATTCTCCGTCTAAGGGCACCATTCACAAGACATTCTTTTGACAATGTTGACAAATCGGTTCCAATTAATATTGGTCGACTACCATTAACCATCATGGGTGGCCTGGTGAAGACCTCCTGCTGGGATTTACACCGGCGGTATGCACTTTTATCGTCGGTGAACTACTGTATCTGAATGACCGAAGAAGCCTTTCGCCGGTTTTATCGTATTCTCTAATTATTTTTTTGAATAGTCTAGCCGGTGAATCGAACTTTCAGTGTAATGAAGCTTGTGGAAGCTGAAGAAGTTGAGAATCTTGAAAGCATTCAAATGGTATATTTTATCCAATAACCGGCTAATTTTGCTCGCTTCTCTTATTTTGATACTCACTTCAACCCCACCACTTTTATATGAAAGTTCGAATCTAATGCACATCCGGCGATTTTTTATTCTTTATGCACATATTCACAAAATGTTCTTTTTTCTTAAAATGTAAAAAAATTTTGCATTTTTTATAGCATAAATAATTCCATTAATATGACAGTAGCGATCATTTTAATATGAAATATTTCGTTGTCAATTCAGTTATTTCGAAATCACTTTTTTTTTTCGTTCAATAGGTGAACCTTAATTTTAATAAAAATGTTTTAACACATGATATTTTTGTCTTATTTAATCCATTTCTCTTTAATTTAACGTTTAGAACTAATTCAAAAAAAATTTAACCAGATATCAATTTTATTCTTGACGCGGAAATACTGTTGACGTCGAGCGACTGCGGAGAATCGGCAAAATGCCAAAAAAATACGATGGCAGTGATCTTGACGCAAAACGAAAAGTGTAGATTTACGGGACCATGTTAAAAGCGCACTGAGACCTCTTTTTAAATATTCTTGGAATTTAGCCAATTTTTGGATACTCCCTCAAATGCATACTGTATTTTTTCCAATATATTATATTTTCGAGACCAATGGGTCTCATTAATATTTTTATGCATCTTCCCTCGAAATTTTAATTTTTTTTTTCGATAGTATTTAAAAACAAAATCAACTACATCATGAATTTTCGGGGGAAATGACGAAATTCTATTATGTGTGAAAAATTAATGAATTTCACCCAATCAATTTCGACTATTTCCTTCTCATTGTTCTGAATAGATTCACAAATAAATGTTTTCCGTATATCTTCATATTGTTCCCTATATTAATTAAATATTTTTTCTGCAAACTTCTTCAATTCTTTTTTTAGCGTGACTCGTCTCACAATTCCGAAAAAAATTTTCTGGCCGACGGTATTGTGTGGTCCGAATCAGCGCATTCATTCTAGCCCATTTGAGGAATCCTCAAAGACTCGAAAATCGACGGCCTAATGGCGTCGCGTGCCGACAAATTGCTATTTTTGCCAGTGAATGTGCGTTCTTTGCACACCAATTCGGCGAGCTGCTCACAAATGAGCAATCTCTAATTTGGAGATTTCATTATTACCAAATTTCCTTTATGTATTTCTTGATTTTACAATATTTGTCACAAATATAAAAATCAATTTTTTAAAAATCCAATTCTTATTATTTGTGAAATTCCTTGTATAACGCTCTTCTCCATTATTTTGTCGGTCTGAAATTCTGAAGGCAATCTATCATTTCCAGAAGTCAAATCAAAAAACGTTTCTACTCGACTATTTGATTGATTGTTACTGTACTCTTGTGTTGCCAAAGACCACCCTCGTCGAAATTCAAAAGTTTAGCCCCCCCCCCCATTTTTATACGCGGGGAACGCGACGAAAATCCCACCATGATTTCTTTTTCATGGTGTTCTCTTATTTTTTTTCTAAATCTCGTTTCCTTTAATATTAATTTACGAAGAGGTTGTCGATTTGATATTTTTTCAAAACTATAATTCTTTTTTTTCAAATATTTCGTCTGAAATATTTTTGGTTAAATTATTTCATTATTTATATAAAACTAATTGTGACAATAAAATAATTTTTTAGTTAAACGAAGATTCCAAAATTATATGTTCAATTTTTCACACATTCATAATGGTCTGATGTTTAGTGTTCCATTGAAGCAATACGTCATTTACACAAGCTTAAAAGTGAATGTAAAGCGTGAAAAACCCCCAAATGAATCATTTTTACAGTGAAACAATCTAAAAATAAAATATTAAACACTATGTTATGGATAGTTTAAAACAATCTGATTCCATTTAAAAAAACAAGAGAAGTCTGGGTATTTTTTGAATAATTCAAATATTTTAATTCCAACAGTGGGAATTCGAGTACTACAGATAACCTAAAAAATAAAAATCTTCGTAAATTTACACAAAATGGCCCCCTTTTTTTGTGAATGTGATAATAATTGATTTAAAACTTATTTTTAAAAAAAGGCAATTTCATTTTTTCAATAAATATTAAATTTGCGTTCGATCTCCTTTCGAAAACCTTTTAGAAACTCTCATTTGAAATATTGATAGAGAATATTGTCGATTCGATTTAGGGATTCTCCTCTTCCTAGAAACCAATTTGTCATGTCTGAAATTCAATCGAAATTGGGGGGCATTGAAACATCAAAAATCATTGGAAACTGGTCTGGTCCAACGAGATGTTCGATTTCAGCACACATTTCGAATCTTCTCGATTTTCTCTTTCACGTCGAAAGCTTTAGCGATTTTTTCGACAAAAAATGTGTCTCGTGCCGACTACCGTATGCACGTGTCATCCATCGATCTACCGTACCGTACATCATTAGGAGTGCCGGCGGCGGGCGGCGATAAAAATCGAGACTCGTTCGCTTCAAACACACGACACTCGCATTCCTGCTGCCAAAAGTGTGCCGCCGCCGCCGCGCTTGCTTACACCGGCCGACGGCCAACATCATCGGCATACTGTAACATTGTGGTTTTCAACTTACCATTATTCTATCCGACTCTCCTTCATCTTCCCCCGTATGTGTGTATGTTTGCTCTCCGAATTTGGGCACCTTGTTGACCGCTCGCTCAAACCTTTTTGCCACACTTATTTTGCCGACCTACACATCCGTTCGACATTACTATTTTCTGTTACTTTTCTGGAATAATGACAATAAAATTGATTTTTTTAGAAAAATGCAACCATCTTCGTCATCTGAGGTTGAAAATGTGAAAACTGCAAAACGAAAAAACCGAATGGTATGTGATTTTATACTGCGCCGATTGAGCAGCGATTTAAAGAAAATTCTTAAATAAAATTTAATTTGTGCTTTTTGATTTGAATAATTTACATTGTGCACAATACAGAATTCGAGATTGAGGAGACTAATATTGCAATTTTCAGCTTCAACGAAATAAACCTCTTATGGAGAAGAAGCGAAGAGCACGAATCAACAAATGTCTTTTAGAATTGAAGCAAATTTTGATCAGCGTTGAGCACAAGGCGAGAATTTCGCGAATTCTCGTCAAATTCCCAAATTTCCCTCTTTTTCAGAGTTCCGCAAAAAGTTCAAAGTGGGAAAAAGCGGACATTCTCGAGATGACAGTTGAATATTTGAGAGATCTCCAATCGAAAGCCGTTCTTGATTCCATCGCGACGTCTTCTTCGCCGTCAAGATCTCCGCAATCGGCTTCATCGTCGGAGACGTCGACACCGCCAGCAACACCGTCGTTCATTCCCAACATTCTTCCCGCCCATTATTTTCAGCATGTGCTCGCCTATCAACAACTTGCTCAAATTTCGATGAGCTGCGCGCCGTGGATGCGAGTCGAAAAAGAGGCTCGGGCGAATTAAATGGATTACTTCAAATGACTATACGGGTTATTTTATTTTTAACTTGTATTTTTTTCGAATTTCAACGACCAACATTATTCCGAATTTAAATATGTGCTTCGTATTGTTCATTACTTCCCATAACGCATTTTTACGTTTCATGCGATAATCTCCCTGTGCTAAATTATCGCTTATTGTTCCAACCAGGACCATTTTTTTCCAACAAACATTTTCCGACACGTTTCTTGTTATCATTTCAATGAATGAATATCAAATCTCAATTCGTCTTGTTGTAAAGCAATAAAAAAAATTTGCTCGTCATTTTATAATTTAGTTCCTATTAAAATTCATTTTAAAAAATTGCTATTTTCACAGAAAATGCAAAAAACGGTCCCAAGTGTTTTTTTTTCTATACGAGACCCAAGGCGGCAATTCAAACACTGACAAATCAGAACCAAACCGACTCGACAAAATTCCGTTGCGGAACCAACCCAATTCAACTCGACGTTCTGTGGACATCAAAAAATCCTATAAGACTATAAAAGTGTTGTATTCGATTTGTTTTTTTAGGTATTCTTGCATCCGATTGGTAATTTTGAGTTCGATCGGTTTTGAGTTATCAGGGAATAATAAAATACTCATTCGTCCGCCCAATACTTTGTAATAATTCATATCTGAACCGCTGAAAAATGAAGTGATTCGGCACGCCCGATCTAGATGTTCGAAGCGATTGAATTACATCGCGTCAGTGAAACCAAGTGGAACCCCGGAAGCATATGATAATGACAGGTTCAAAAATCATTTCTCTATCACCCATTGCGACGATCAAAGTGACAAATTGCAAAAGAAATTAAAGTGAAGGGGGGTATACGCCTGACCAAGGCCCCCCAGTACATGAAAATTCGCTTATATTTTTTCGCGCCAATCGGGGTCGATGTCAACGTGAAGAATACAATTTCTCTTCAAAAAGCGTTCTTTATTTTATTTTTGAAAGAGAATTTTGAAAAAGTGCAGACTTGTTTGATTGGAGATGATTGACGTGTGTCAAATGAATGGCTTTTGTACTCGAATATTTATGAAGACCAACTAGCGATATAAATGTATATGAGATTCTAAACAATATCTTTAGACAACCCGTCGAGCTTATGCTTGCAACCGTAGAGAAATGAATAGAATAAAAAAGGGAAGCGGACATAATGGCAGATGGGAGCGGGAGAAGATGACGAAAATGCAACCGCTATTAATAATCTACAATAATTGAATAACAGTTGAAATAATAATTAGCATGATTTGTTGGTTTGCACCCAGACAGTTCTATAAGGAAGCGCTTGTGGATGAGCTCTATCAGTAGGAGTGGCAAGAAGATCAAATCTATAAGTGCTAGCTGGCTCCAAATTGGGGATGGTCGTTTCGATCAAAGACGCGGAAAATGATGGCGACTGTGTGTAACAACCGACAAATGTCGACGAGGAGAGGCCACCTTCACAAAGGTTGCCGACCTGCAATTCATATTTGTATTCATTCGATTTTTAATTGCAAAAATACCAAGCTGACGAGATTCTCGAGAAAATTCGAATTTTCCTTTCGCTTATAAACACAGTATTTTACGTTCGATTCCAATGCTCGAAGCCATTGAATGGAAGCGGTCGTGCATGTTCTTCCAACAATTTTCACGCTGAATATTTTAGTGAAATATTTTTGAAAATTATCTTTTATCTACCTGGTCTCATCTGGAAGTGTTGGGTACGGAGATGTGGTGAGATTGGTGCCTGCCCAGATTCGAATTGATTTCGCATTATCGTCGTCATTCACCAGCTGGAATCGAAGATGCCCTTGAGGGATGTTTGTCACAACGAATCGCCTGAATCCGGAGAATGGTTCACTTCTCTTGAGAATCTTTCCATTGCGGAAAATATTGAGGCGAACAAGTCCGTTGCATGCGTGCACGATGAGCATCGCCTGGAAAGAGAGAAACTTTATCACTCATCGACAACTGGCCGTTGATGACGTCAATCGGGTGCTATTTTTAAGCAAATCCTGCTAAAAATAGCAGATCAGCAGTTAGTAATTTGAGAGTATTGCTGACAAATAGCGTTTGCACTCACTGATTGTTTTGCCGAATCGGTGGGAACAACAGAGAAACGGTAGTTGACGAACGCGCCTTTTTTGGCTTCAAGGTGAGCAGTCCGGATTTTCGAATTGGTCAAAACTCGTGGTGTTGTTTTCTGCAAAGTAACATAATATAATAATTGAAAAATATTGCAACTCGATACCTTTTGACGTCGAGTGATACCAGTGCGAGTTTGACGTCGAAGAAAAGGGGACTCTGTTCTGATGGTTTGTGTTTCGTAAGCAGATGTCGTTCCTCTTTTGTAATCTCGAACAAAGACAGTTACATAATAAAGCTTGTCGCGTCTGAAATAATCTAATTTTAATATATTGTCCTATATATACTGACCTTAGAGATGGAATGAGAATCGAATTGTTGGTTTGCGGAACACATCGAATATTTTCAACTCCATCGTCGATATGATCGCAAAGTGGCCATTTTGGTTCTCGACGAGACACAATGGTGCAAATTCGATATCTTCCTGGCTCGGCATTTTTAACATGCGCTGCGATTTTCCATGTGATCACGGCTGAAGCATCTCCTTTGAAAGTCTCGACAGTGGTGGCAAGTCTAGTGTCATGAGGAAGAGCTGGATATTGATCCTCAACTCGGAGTAGTGATGGCGAGAAAAATATGCGGCAGGAGGAAATCCCGTGAGAATAGATCACGAGCATAATTTCTGAAAACATACAATATAAGTTAATTGCATGCTTTGCTAAAATTGATTACTTTTATTTTCAAGGTGGTGTGAGAAGAATGTCATTCTCTTCGTATCCTCCTCCCCAGCGATTAATTTGAACTTTTCGGCTCGATCCAAAGAAACGCTAAGGTCCGAAACTACTCTGAATTCCTCACCATGTGTTATATCTAAAACTTCACATTTTTCAATGACTTTTTTCATCGAATTTGTTACCTTTATCAATTTCGAACAATTGCCAGTGAATTGGTGACCCACATGGGGTAATGAACAAGAAGAATGGCGAGGTTTCATCACTGATTTCAAGATAAAATCTGAAATTTTAATTTTAAAAAGGTTGTTTCAACATTATCATCCAAATATGTTTGAAATCGATGGAAAATCTTGCAAAAATAGGAAAATGTGGAATAGGAAACGAACGACAATATTTAATTACTGTAAATGTTCTAAGACCTTCTATATTATGTGCACGTGTCCCTTTAAAATACAGTAAAACGGATTGAAATTTTATTATTGAGTTTTAGGCATATTTTCCTAAAATTCGGAATTTATCTTTATACCTTTTCTCCACATCTCCATCAAGTTCGTGAATGCTTTCAGTATTTTCGTGAAGTGTCGAATATGCCAAAGGAATAATATTGAAGCAATAAATTTGATGATTAATAAACGCAAATATCAAAAGCCAATGTTGGAGCATCTGTAAATGATACATATTTATAGAAATAACAAACAAAAGAAAAACGAGGAAAAAGTAGACGGAGAAGAATGATGTGAATTCCCAGAAGGGCGTTCAACAAGCAAATCTCAGTCTGTCGAATTCCGACAAAACAAAACAAGTGGTGGTTGAGATGGCAATGGCCCAACCTGTTGATGGCCAATATGCCAATTCGAATGAGGCTGATGGGACCTCTTCCGGAGGTCAACCTCCTGGAATTTGAGCAGCTTGTGAATGGGATTGGGCCTCTCGCCGCTTCCGCCTCTTTCTTCTCACCTCCCCTCGAAATAGAAGGAATGTGTGGAATGTGCCAACTGTTTTTGTTTCCACACACTTCTCCGCTGTTGTGCCCTCCCCATCGCAATGTTGATATCGAACACCGAGCCGCGTTTTTTCGCGTGCGATTTGTCAAATCATTTTTGAACATTTGAAGAAGGCCAAAAAAAATGAGTGTGGAATGTGATGGGTGGACACGAGACGTTAGAAAAATGGACTCTGGAATGTTTCTTGAATCATCATTCGTACTCAAATTGAGAAAATAAATGATCGATCGATCAAAAGCTTGCAAATCCAATGACAGGCATGCTGAAAAGTTTCCATGTTTTCAGAACAAAATTGGTTAGGAGAAAATCAGAAGTAAATTGAAAATAATAAGAAAAAATTTTTCCTCATCTTAAAATGAGGAAAAATAAAAATTAAATAGTCATTGTTTCTAAAAAGTTGATACGACCTACTTTTTTCTTAATATGGGTCATTTGAATTTTTATAAAATTCTAATAGAATGCACTTCTGAAATTTTGAAATTTTTTAACCAATCCAAGTTTCAGATCATCTCGAGTAACATGTTCTTATATTTTTCAATATTATAAAATCATAATTATGTCGTAGGCATTTCGATGTCATCGCTTCCTTCCGGTTCGTATATCATTGGAATGGGCTGCTCGTTTCGACGACAAACGGCTTGTCAGCGATAAAAAATGGCTGTAGGCGAGTGCGGTTTCGATATTTATCACCGCTTTATTGCTCTAATAATAGTTAACATGGTCGGCAGTTGGCAGGCAGAGGTCGTGGGAGAATTGACGTCAAAATTATATGATCTATTGCTGGTTTGCGAAACTCTCGAGCTAAAAATAAAAATGTTGAGTGAAATGAAGTAAAGTTTGAAGAGGAAATGATTCCTTCAAGGTATATCTCGAATTATTACATTCGCAGAAAAAAAAACGAGCACCTTGCGCCGATTTACGGTGAGTTTGATTCGCAGGTTATCTAGGGTTCGGTGCCACCGAATTCCCACGGTTTAAATTCGAATTTGAATTACCGCCTCGAAACAGTGCGATGGTCCACAATTATGGAAGACGCTCTTTTTTGCGATGGTAATGCTTGAACTATTAATAAGGTCTCGGATTGTACATCAAACATGAAATGATATTTCCTACAAGGAAGTCTCGTTTTCCAAAAATATTTTTTAAAATTTCAAACCGTTTTTACCCTCAAAAACCAATCAATATATTTGTGCAGTGACAAAAAGTGAAATTCCATAATAATAAGTATAGGCACTATAAATATAAAGATATATAAATATATAATAAGATAATAATAATAATAAGATATAAAAAATAAGGAAATTTCTTGATGAGATTCGAATATCGAAAAATAAAAATAAAAAACAGAAAATAAAAATGGAAAACTCGAAATCTGTGGTTTCTATTAACAAATAATTGAGCTTCGAATTTCAAAAAAAATTTAATGAAAAAAAAAAATAGTTGGGGAATTAGAGGCAATTCTATAATGTAGGATCAATACGTGGAATGCAGGTCCGCCTGTAGTTTTCTTCATGCTCACTGTTTGAGCTTGGTGACACCACACCAAAAAAAATTGGAATTACACAACATTGTTTTATCAAATAGGGGAATTAATCGTCAAGTTTAAAAACCGCTTCATTGATCGATAAAACACCTTTTTCGAGTACATAAATCATGAGATTGGTTCACCCATGAGACAGCAGTGTCGTTCCTCTCGTTTTCTAAAATACATAAATTTTGGGGATGGACAACGATTGGATGGAAAATGTTGCAGTCGCTAAACTTGTCGAAAAACTCGCCAACTAAACTGAGAAAATGGAAGTGAGCTTTGAGAAATGAAAATAATCATCAGGGTAAAAAAAAAGAAATTTAAAAAACGCAAACCAATTTATTTTTTGAATTGGAACGCTTTACCTCTTTACAGAATAGATGGAAGTCTATTTTCATATTTCAAATTAACGAAACCTAAAATAAAATAAAAGTATAGGCCTTCATGTGTGACGAGAAATGGATCAATAAAGTCGGACCCAAAAGCTCAGACACTGTTCGAAAAAAAAATAGAGCAGTGCCCATGAGAAAACATTTAAAGAAGATTTTTCTTTCAGTAAATTTAATAACTAATGAACCAAGTTAAACTGAAAATTGAATTGATTTAGAAATACTATTAAAATTTGATAATATTGGTCAAATACATATTAACATAAAAATGTAGAAAATAATCAAGATTATTCTGAGTTTCGCTTTTGAAAAAATGTTGACATTTGCAGCCCCTGGGCCACCCAGGTCTTTTTTCCCCGGCCCATTTACACGGGGCCCGGAGGTCCTCTTTTGGTCATAGTCATGCATGGACTTTTTTATTTATTTCATATTTTAGTCGCAAAAAACCGCGAGTAAAAATTATGGAACATCGTATGTTTTCTAAGACGGTAATTCAAATTCGATTTAAACAATGCGAATTTAGAAATTGTACTCAGGATAACCTGCGAATCAAACTCAACCAAAAAGGAAAATTCGTTCTCGGCAATCGTAAGGTTTGTGTATTTTTACTTTTGAAGCTAGTAGATGAAAGGGTAATTTAAAAATTTGTTATGCAATATTTAATAAGAAAAGCTTGAAATCTGTCGAGAATCGCCTAAAACATCAAATACCGTAGTGGCCCTCCGAGATTTGTGGACCATACACGTTCGGATGGCAATTTTTCAAACATTTCAAGCATCATATATCATTGCAGAATGGCCTGGCGAACGAACAACGTGTCCCGTTTGCAGAAGGTTCGGCAAAAAAAAGAATGCCTGCCGGATTGCGGTTTTTTCATGACGCATGTACACGAATTTCTCAAATTCCGGAGGGGCCACACCACACACGCAGCTGCAGACTCATTCCATCATGTGTTCAATCAATGTTTTCGCGCTTATTGTTGAGAGAAGATGATTGGAATGTGAGACGATGTTTTGATCGGTTTTTGTCGATCATGAGGGGTCATTCGAATGCTCATTACCGATTAATCATGCTCATTTGGTCGATCCGACGGACGAGTCGAGTCTCGTTTGTGTGTTGGTGTAGCGAGTGCGGCCAGTCGCAGACGGCTCTCGTCGCCTTGAATTCCTCTGAAATTAATCACTCTGCAGTTGCGGCCTTTGAGGTTCACGTTGTGTTGCAGGAAGAGCAACAATTAATAGGAGAGTCAAGATCTGACATATTGTAAATCAGTCGGAATAACTTTTAATTTTTTACCTGCAAATATATACATAATAAGGAAGAAAATATGAGAAATCGACTGCGGAAAATTCGCTAAATATTAAAAAAATCTAATAAACAGTAATGGTCTTGTGGAAATTGACATTCATGCTGTGAGACCCAAATCTAAGTAGTCAACCGCGCCATACTTAGTCCAATATCTAAAGTTGACAATAGGATGATAAGAAAATTTATTGCCAACAGAATATCAAAAATCTCTTTTTTGAATTTTAAAAATTATTAACCAAAGTTGTAATAAGCAAAGGATGACATAATTTCATGAATATTCTCGATAACACTATGTGAAACTGCGAAATCGATTGTACAATTGAATATATTGACTCTTCCATTTCTTCAAGTTGGTCCTATTTGGAAAGCCAGAGTGCTGGTGAATCAGCAGGTCCCATTCGGAAGTCGCCAGATTTCCTCGCTGCGGTGACCTTTTCGCAGTGGACGTGGCCGTCGATTTTGTCGTTGCAAAAAAAACTCGGCCTAAATTTTTCTCATTTTTATTTTCCCAAATTTCTAAAAAATTTGTTTTCTTACTACTATTTAGATAAATGGAAAGTTCAGACGACATGTCGGGAACATTGCGCGACAAGACCAACGATGCTCAAGGTTTTCGATTTTTGTGGCCGTTTCCGGAAAGGCCGAGTCTCGTTTATCGGTGGAAATCCTACATGATGATGACATTCGTCTCTTCCGTATCGAAGATTATGTTTTTAGGAGGTATGCTATACAATTGAGACGATAATTGGATTTTTAGGCGTTAACAAGATCGTGGCGCATGACAAAGAAAGGCTAATGAAGATATTGCATGATCCAGAGCAGCCTCTTATAACAGTTTCGAATCATAGATGCAATATTGATGATCCTTTGATGTGGTGTAAGTATCGCAAACGATTTGTGAACATTTTTAATATTTGCAGGTATTTTGAATTTGAGAGAATTCTGGAAAATCAAGGATAAACATCGGTTTACATTAGCAGCTCATAATATTTGTTTCACAAAACAGTTTCACACGACGTAAGTTTATTTAAAACTTTTGTTGTGAAAATTGCGTTGATATTTGCAATGAAGAATTAAGGATAATGAAGAATTAAGAAATGAATATCTCAATTCCTGGAAATTGGAATCTGTTTTGATGTGTATCACCCAGGAATCAAAATTATATTGTTCTTTCTTAGAATTTCAAACTTTAAGTATTTCCCTAATTATCTGCCAAGTTAAAACGTGTAATCCTCAAATTGCTGATTATTTTTGTGGAAATAGTTTTTCAAACTATTTTAAGTTGTATCAAATCAATAGAACAATAAACCCTGGCTCACGTTGATGATTTTTGATTGTTTCGGTAATTTGAGCTATTTCGAATTTTATTGCTCAATAAAATGCGGTTCAGACGAATTCTTTTGATTTCTAAACATTGTGATTTTTATGCGTACCTCTTGATGTTCTTGTTCCTGTTACACATTTTTTGGGCGTTTTTATGCGTTTGAAATGTGCTACACGTTTAATTTGATTGCACTTTTATTTGTGCCAACATACTTTAAATCAAGAATCATTTCGAACGAGAATCAAGGGACCAATGAAAAAATTCAGGATTTTCTCGTTGGGACGATGTGTTCCGTGTGTACGCGGTGAAGGCGTCTACCAAAAAGGAATGGACTTTTGTGTGGAGATGTTGAATCAGAAAAAGTGGGTGCACATATTCCCCGAAGGAAAAGTGTGCAGGAGCGAAGAAGAACCCCTAAGGTATTCATTAATATGTTTTAAGCGGTTTTCAAATGTTGATAAAAATACAGAAATGGTCCCGTTTATCTAGTGTTCTAATAAAAAGGTATTTTAAAAATAATAAAAATAATTAATTTTCCATTTGAAAGTTTCCTTTATATTAAATGGATTCTTGGACTCTATTTAATTATGCAGGATAATTCAAAGTTGCAGATTCAAATGGGGAGTAGGACGATTAGTAATGGATGCAAAGACTGACCCGTTGATATTGCCAATATGGACGAAGAACATGGAATCTGTATGGCCAGAGCAACCACCATATTACCCCAAATTCGGAAACGTAACTTTTAAAGACAAATAAATCGCCATATTTTCGTTTTCAGACTGTTGAAGTGCACATCGGGGAACCGTTTTCGTTAGCGGAAATTAAACGGATTATTGATTCACGTTCGGAATTGACAATTGAACAGAAACGGAAGATTTTAACTGACATCATACAGACAAAATTGTACGAACTCGGCGAGAAGGTCGGAGGTTTGAAGAAGGGAGCTGCGCAGCGAGTTCTTGACAAATATCCGGCAATTCAGTTGGAAAATTTGGATAATAGCAAATTATAGCTATCAATTTTTCATAATTAGGTTTCTCGAAAATAGTTTTATAGATTATATAGGCATTTGTTATTATATTTGTTACGAGTTTCCTGATTTTTCGTTGTTCTTTTTTTCAGCCGCCATAAACTGATCTACGTTATTTGAAGTTTTTTCTCTTATTTGTGTCCGAACTCAAAATAAGCAATTGTTTTCGATAATCCGAATTTTGTTTCTGTTATTTTTTAACATTTGTTTATTCTTTTTCCTAAATCAAGTGCCCATTTCTGACAATTGAAAAACAAAATTTCCACAAAAAATGCGTTTCTTTTAATCAAGCGATCTTCATAATTCAATCTCAAAACATGAAGCTAGACGAAATTTTTTCGGTTTTATGCGGATTTGAATATAATAGCAGAGCAGCTTCACGGCGAGTTGAGAAAAGTCTAAATTCTGCTCATTGTTGTAGCCAGGCTAAAGTCATTAGTGTTCTCCTTAAATGCACACTATAAGTATTGATCCATCACCTACTCGTAAGCAGTATGGAATATTTTTTGAAAGATTTACTTTTTTCAATTAAATTCTAAAAAAAGATCAATTTGAACCACAATTCTGATGAGTGATGGTAATAAGAATTTGAAAAAAAAAATTGAAAGTTATGCTAAAGGAACATGGTGGAGTTGGTAGAGTGAGGAAAAGCACGATGAAAACTTGAGTCAGAAGCTTGAAAATAATAGTATCATTGAAAAATATTTTTGTTTACACATAGTAAATCGATTGTTTTCATAATTAATCACAATCTGCCATTTGACGCTTCGGACACGCGTCCATTCAAGAAAATTCGAGATGAATTCTCGACCTAATCTGCTGAAACAGGATTTGGATTGATTCATCGCCGGAAATTTCTCTGCTATCAATTCATTTAGCGCTCAAATTTCGACATATGTGAATTCGATCGCTGTAAAGTCGAATTGTTCTTCCAGTGTATCCCGCCAGATCGGAAAATCATCGAATGCCGCAAATTTAGATTCAGTTTACTGGAAAATCCGGACTAGTGGATTAATTTCGGAATACTGGACGCCGGCATGAAACAGTCTAAATTAGGGAATTCCACAGAGCTTCTGCCTGTCGACTTCCTCTTAACCACTAGTGTGAACTGAAAAGACACTCTTCAAATATAACACGTTTATATGGTTAATACCATAAAATAATAATAAAATTATTGTTATCTGGGAATCAATTTTTTAAGTAGAAAATCGACACTTTCTGCGACTTTGCAAAACGAATAGAAAACTGAGAAGGACTTCTTCAAAGTGATTTTTTTAGAACATCGATTATCGGACTGCGCGAAATTCCTGGCGACAGAAGACAGAGATCCTGTCTGGGCAGACTGTACCAAACGCAGTTGGACCAAAACCTGATATGAGGAACATCCAATACTCTTTTGCTCGGCACGGACCAGAGTTGGGCGGAATTTCGAAATTTGAAATTATTTATTCTATCCAATTCTAATCGGAAACCACGAAAAGGTCCGATTTCTTATTATATTTTATATAATGGACCCATCTTTTATTGGCAAAAATATTTTTAATCTTTAATTATCAAAAGCTCTAATGAACTGAGGAATATCGTAGAACTATAACGAACTATGTGATTTCTAATTTCCATCATGATCAATTTGAACAATTATCTTGTGTGATTTTATACCTCATACAAATTTTTTGGGATTACATTTGAAAAAAAAACATGAATTTTTTATTTAAAAAATTGCCCGAGGTAAAATTTCATCGAAAAGTTGTCGAGAAGAGCTCCGAATGAAATTTCCTGACCACTCGCGTTCTTCATTTCCATTTTCGCACCCTATATATTTTTTTTTGTAACATTGCTCGCAAAATCGCGGCGGCCGCCGAAACCCCCCATCAACACACGGAATAATTTCGGTTTTTCAAGAGCAAAGACTTCGTTTGATGCTCGCCGTTGGCTGCTCTCGTCTTTCGTCTCGTACTAATGTTCGCTGAGATGAGCGTGCTGTGTTACATCGAAGGTACCGCCTTGAATCGTGCCATTTGTCACGTTTTTCTTGAGCAATTCCTTGGTATTTTTTGAATAACATTTGGTTTGGCTTGGCTTTGAAATCGCTGCTCTCCTCCTAATTGCTTCACCGTAATTTTCCGCTTATACTCATCATAATTATAATTAACTAATAATTATAAAAGGTTCTGTTGATTAATCAAATAATCATGTGTAATGTGAAACGACCGCTTCCGTGTAATAATTATATATATTATAATTTCAAAATAAATAAACGCTTATTACCGTAATTGATAAATTTCAATGAGTTTGATTTTCAAGTTATCAGTAGCAAGATACCAGTATTCTTGAATTACCGCCTCAAAAAATGCAATGGTCCACAAATACCCAGGGTACTCGTTTTTTGCGATGATAATAGCTCTTTCAATCATTTTTCCATTAAAAGATCTCAGGTCAATAAAAAAAATCGTATTCGAAGAAAAATGAAACAAAAATTAACCTGATTCGATTAAAAAATAATTTAAATTCGATTGAAAAAGTGTTGAAATTCGATTTCAAAATTTGGTTTTTTTTTTTCAAAAATCTTCAAAATCGATATTGATTTATTACTCAATTTCAATTTTTCTGGAATAATTCGAAACTGATTAATTTATGTTCGATTACTATTGAGAATTTTCGAATCCTTTTGATTTTCATTTACCTGAGATTTAAAAACTTCAGAAAACCAGAGGCACATGAAAGTGAGTGGGACTTTGATTTATTTTTAGGAGGTCCTATTCAATTGAGTACCAACTAATCTCCTTCGATTATTTGTTCCTGACAAAATTTGGACAATGCTAAGAAATCCCTCGAAAAACCGTCGCCTTCTCGATGCCTTCTTTCTTTTTTTTTCCATCTCACACGCACACCAGTAACAACTGTTCGATGGATTTTTGTTTTTGAATGGGTTCGTGTTATTCGAATTTTTGTGCACAACCAAGCATTCCAGCAGATGAAGAAGAAGGAGAAGATCACGACGGATGGAGTTTTGCCGTCGGTGCTCGTTTGAAAATGTCAACAAGAAATTTGAGTGTCTCTTGGTGGGGAAGAGATGTGTTGACCTTCTCTCAAATAGACGACTGATATCAATTTTATCCAACATCCAACTTGTCATTTACCGCCGTTGGATATTTTCCGCACGAAAAGCTTGTCTTTTTTGTTCGTCGAAGCAGCGGCCTAAAAATCACGTTTTTGAATTGTCTAATTCATAATGAAAAAAAATGCAGGTGGCCGAGAAAAACTAAATCTGACCGATTTTTTTGAGTAGAATCTGCAGAGTGTCAAAATATTCTCGGAATATGTTTTCGAAAAAAAACTAGTGGTTCTCAAAATTGCCTCCGCTGCGAGACTCGGCGTGCAGTATACAAAATTATTCTCAAGTATTTCTAAAAAAAAACTATTCACATTGATTTTAGTCATTTAATTATTATTTCATTTGTTTTTTGATATTCGAATATTAAGCAATTTCCATGAAAATTACGAGAAAGATCAATTCAATTTTAAAATTAAAATATAATAATATTATTGAGTACTTCGGGTATTTGCAGACCATCGTAATTCAAATTTCGATTTAAAATGTGGAAATTCGGGTACCGAATTTTTCACAGTAAGACCTTGTTCATGGGTTGATTCTTGAGATTTCTGCTAAGCCGTTTTTCTTCAGGGAAAACCATACAGCAAACATCAAATATGAAACGACCATGCCTACAGATTTGCATTTTAATCGACGCTTCAAAATTTTTAAGTAATCGCAAAAATTGCGAGTTTTTCTCAAGATTGACCGGGCAAATATCGACCATTTGTTGTGGCTAAGCTAATTCCCAAAAATATTGTTGCCTTGGCTTTGGCAAATAAATAAGTGCCAATTGATTTTTTTTCGCCAATTTATCACTGATTTTGATCAAGCGAGAGATGCCGAGGTGAAATCGGCACGTAATCTTCATTTTCTCTTGATTTGTTGTCCGCGGCTCGAAACTGCCAAATAATTCACATTGCTTGCTTCAAGTTTTGGAATTTTAAAGAAGTGCACATTTGTTGCGCGAACTGAATCAACTGGAATTTTTGAAATTTCTTTGGCAATTTTTTTTGCATTTGAGTATCAACCAGAAACGGACAAGCTCAATTCGATTAGAAATCCCACATAAACTAAGCTTGGCGACGAAATCATGAACAAAAGAGTTGATGGAAATTTTAGTTTCATTCCAATTGAATATTGCTGAAATTTCTTTTTCATACTCTATGCCTTGAAAATGAAAAATTTTGAAAAGCTGGAGATGTATAAATTGAATCTAATTGAATTGCTAGCATTTGAGATTATCAGATAAATCATCATGATTTCAATAGATTCTTTCTAGAAGTGCCGACATTTCTCGATTACTTTCATTTTGCAATGAGTCATAGAAAGAAATTTGAAAGTTTCGCAACTGGTTATGCATTGTGTGGCCAATATTGGCCTTTTAGGAATCACAAAAAAAATAATCTTTCTATTTAGAAAAAAATGTTTGATTAGCCCGTGAAGACGCGATTTCTTCCTCGTCTGCTATTGGTTCTCGAGCCTTTAGTTTGCACATTTGATTTTAAAAATATCATTGAAAATCATCAATTTTTCGATTTTTCGAAAACACATTTCTCAATTCCACCTTTTCGGTTTTGTTTTTGCGATTCGATGTCCTTTTCGTGGTCAGTTTTCCGCTCGAGACCAACCACATGTCTCGATTATCAAACATCTGTCGATTAAACTCGTTGTGCACTAATTCTTCTTTGTCGCTTATTAACCCGTCGTTTTATTGCAGGCTAAAGCCGCTTCTAACACAGAATGAGAGCCGCACAAGTAAGATCTTGAAATCCGTTGACTCCTGCGTCCATCTGACAATCAATTCCTAGCTTTTACTATTATAGGATCGAAAAATGAGCGGATCCCGCAAGCAGTCGATCGTCGAAGCCGCCGAGCAGCACTTCGACAAGAACACCATCATCTTGATAGTCAATCTCGTCATTCTTACGTGCCTCGTCTCGCTTTTGTACATGGTCGCCACATCAGCAATGGCTGCCAGCGGACCACACAATGAGAACTAAAAACAGGTCAGCAATTTTATCTGCGGGCAAATTTCGCTGCTCCTTTTTTTTACATTGATCATCGAAAAAATCTAATTCCAAGATTGTAGCCCACAATTTGCGATCAGCAAACAAAATGAACCAATGGATTTTGATTGAGATATTTGCGGAACACGTTAGTCATCGCAAAGTCATCAAAACTCAAAAAAAATCTAAATTGAAGCGATAAAATTTCAGAGAGACGTTTTTAATTTTCAGGTTGTTCAACATCACAATAATATGCTTATCAATTCACAGCCGAATTCTTCAATTCGTTTCACAAATTTATTCACATTTTCAAATAATTGACTCCCCGTATTTCTCGACGAACTTCCCACCAAATACAATAATGTCTAATTGATTTTCTTCATGACGGCGAATCGCATTTTCGACGGTTCCTCATCGCACACCGGACAGCTCATCGCGGTTTTCGATTGCGAGGCGACGCACGTGTAGCACGCCACGTGGCGACAATTATCGCCGATCATCGGAATGACGGGCGGTTTGTCGCACACGACACATTCGAACGAATCGTTGTCGCACGTTCGAGCCAATTTTTGTCGTCGCACAACGCGTTCGCGAACGCGATCGAAAATCGGGTAGATCAAAACGAGCAGATCGCGAAACGCGTGCCACATGAGCTCGCGATTCTGTGTGTCGTAGTTGACGGAATCTGAAAATACACAAAATGTGCAATCAAATCGAGAATTTCGAAGCTCGATTTGATTCTCATTTTCATGCCGTTACTTCGTGTGTTTTTTTTGTTTCAAATAAAAATTCGTTTAGGTTTTTGCGTTGTACTTTTGTACATTGTGTTTTTGTCTGCTTCAACTTTGTTTTTTTTTTGGTCGAATAAAAACGTCTTCTTGCTCACACAGCTCAATTTTTGTTGTGGCGAGTTCGAAGAAAAATGAAATCATCGGTTCTCCGCGAAAAAAACTGAATTCAATGTGAAAAAGAGATAGAAATGTTGGAACACTTTACAGCATCGCAGCTCCGAGTTGTTTTTGCGGAGAAAAGACACAAAATTTCGCCGACAAATGTGACGGGATCAATGGCAGATTTCATGACTTTCAAATATTCCTTGAAAAAAATGTGGGGATCAAACATTTTGGAAAAGAAAATTTGCGAAATAATACACGTGAAAAGACATGTTGATTAATTAATTTGAGAAAAAAAGAGACCATGTGGTTTTAGAAAGAATCTTGGGAAAAAATTCGCGACTGTCGGGTAGATTTTGAAATATTTAGGCGTAGATTAAAATGCAAACAGCATATGTGTGCAATCACGCCGAATGATCAGTGCAGATTTGCATTTTAATCGACGCGCCTAAATATTTGAAATTTTAAGAATTTTGCGAAAATTTTTCTTGAAAAAATATAACTCACTTAATTGCGGCTGATTGTTATTCCAATTCCGCAATGACAAAATACTTTCCGAAATTGTCGAGTGCCCACCATGTCTGAGAAACACGAAGAAGTGCATTAAACTGAGCATCTAAAAATTAAAAATAATTCCAGATGATTAAAAATAGGAAAAAAAACCTCAATGATGGCTTCAAATTTTGCATATACTCTAGACCATTCGATATTTCCACTGAGATGGGTTATTCTGTTGCCCAAATATGGCAAAAATACACTGATTATGAAATGGGCTGCGACTTTTCTTGGGGTATAATCTTTGTATGAAATATCCATTTCCTGTTGTCCATGAGAAGACCCTAGAAGAATAATATTAACCATAAATAAAATGTCGAAACTCAAATGCACCTGTGAAATATCTATGGGACCATAAAACAGCATCGATTATAGTGGTCCATTCAGGACGAAGCTTAAAATTCAAGAAAACAAGTTAATCCAACTGTCATTTCAAACCTTTTCGAAAATTCTTCCAGCTCGAATTGGAATAGTTTTTAATACTCCTTCTATTGAGCCTATGGTAATATTTCTAATCTCCTCGTCAAGAACGTGAGAATCGAGTTGATCAATTCTTAAGCATTGACAAGCCATTTTTTCTAAACATTGAATATTTTATATTAAAATTAGTGAAAAGTGTACATTCAACAATAAGAAAAAAAAACAATAAAAGAGTGTGCGACCCAGACAAATAAGGAAGACAGATAAGACTACATTGTAGCTATAAATTATAATTCTTGTCGTTGTAATCGTCGACATTATAAAATCCCGCCAAAACTGATCTGCCGCCAAAAAATCGTCCATTCATCACAACGAATGCTTTGATTGCTTGAGCATTGTTCGTGAATTCGACGAAAACTCGAACTTGCTGCTCTTCAGTTTGCTGATCATTCTGAAAACGCTAAAAATTGGTTTGATCCATCGAACAAATGATACCACGTGGACGAGAACATTCGCAACTTGGCCGCATTTTTGCATTTCCTCCTTGATTTCATCGCCGAATTCGTCGATGTTCTCGTAGTCCTTCTTCAGCTCGTCTAGTGATATTAAATTCTAAACAAAATCTGCGATTGGGCAATTGAAATAATCGGGGCATACAGCTAGAATCAGCACTTTTGTTGCATTCTGAACGGCTTCCATCGAATTTGTGGCAAACGTTGGGGCTAATTTCGTCTCTTCACCGACAATTTGACCACCTCGAAGACCACTTTTCTCAACGACCAGAGCTTTACTGATTCCTTGCTCATTTTTGCCTGAAACAATTGCATTAATTTTGAAAATATACGAAAATTAAGATTTTTTGGCTAGTACAATTATTGGAGATTCCCTAATCTCTAAATTTTCATTAATTAAAAACAATTTTAGGATTGCAAAGTTTAAAGAAGATTGAGAAAGCTTTGCTTTGTTCAGCACTTTTTTTTCAATTAAATTCGATTTTAAGCCATAAACCATCGTACCTAAGCCTAATCCTTCGCGATATCCTTGCTTTTTCATAATATTTGCGGCAATTCCAAGACCTCGACTAACCGATTTACCAAATGCCGGTAAAAAGGTTGGCGGAGGCATCGCGGTCCGCTAAAATCATGGTTTATTTTTTTTCGCGTTTTTTTTTCAACTTACATCCTCATCGCTTTTCGATTCTGACGTTGTTGGTGGTTCTGGATCAAGAAGAGCTGTTGGAGGAGCAATTGCAGCACCTTTCGATCGTTTCTTATCCTCTTCTTTTTGTTCGCGAGCAAGTCTAAAAAATTATTGCTAAAAACCTATGTACGTTTATCGACTTTCTACCGTTTTGCTTCCTCTTTGGCTGCCTTTTCTTTCATTTTATTCTCCATAATAATTCTCGCCATTTTTTCATATTCGTTGGGCACGGATACTTGATACTCATTTTTACATAAATACTCTCCAAACATCATGAACTGAAAATGCGATTATCATTTAAAAAATAGTTATTTTTAAAATTACACTGTCATCTGTTGCAGATTTTGGCAAAAACGAAATGTTCTCAGCGACTGGATTCGCTTTGATTGGTTTGAATCCCATTGTAACTTTTGTGCCAATACCAAGAGCTCTGTTTCGGGCAGCGAGATCAATAACTGGCGGTGGCGCCGAAATTTTTGCTGTTTTTGGTTTCTGAAATTACGTCTCTAGAAATGTACAATTAATATTATTATACTGCAGCTGCTGCTTGAAGTGCAGTCCGTTTTTGAGCTATCTGAGACTGTAGAAACTTTAATTGAACGCTATCCATCGTTTTGGCTGAAAAAAAATAATAAAAAAGAGACATTTTATTTAATTCACATTTCTTGGTCTCTGGTTCTTTTGTAGGAATGTCGTCGTCGTCATCGTTGTACATTTTCGACAGTTATTACTAAAAGATTAACAAAAATAGCAGGAATAAAATTTTTATTCAAATAGTGAAACAAATGCGCTCTATGGCATACGTGGCCAAAAAAATATATGGCCGTAACTTTTTAAAAATTCGTCCATATTCTAATTTGAATTGAATTTTTTTTTAAATTTCAACGAAAATCGTTTCAAAATAACTGGAAAAGTGAAGATTTCAGAAAATGAGTAAGCGGGTGAAAACTAGTGCCGAGCCAGTGGAATACAATCGCTCAATAATGGCAGCATTTGAGCGACAGCTCAAAGGGAAAATTTGCCAGATTTGTAGTACTAAAATCTCGTTAGCAGCCTATCGAGAACATTTTGAATCATGTAAGCTTAAAGAAAATGATGATGACTGTGAGGTAGCCAAGCTTCAAAGCGAGTTTAAATATTTAAGCCTCATTTTTCCAGGTCTTAGCCGCATATTCAAAAGAAGAGGCTATTTTATTACGTGCGGGTCCTGAAATTGTGTTAGACGACGCACAAGAAGATCAAGCTCTACCGGAAAATAATAAAGAACAAAATGAGAATACAAAAACGGAAAATGCAGTAGAATCATCGACAATTTCTGAATGTCCACCTACTCTTGAGACGACATCTAGTGTTGATCCTCCAAACACCATTGAACCTAATATATCAGAAAACTCTGAAGATCCTCCAGTAAAAACGAAAAGAACTCGAAGATCTCTTAACCACGACGTCGAAAATACTGTCCGAAAAACTGTAAAAATTGAAGAATCTGTTCCACAGTAAGAATGTTTAACTGTTGAGTATATTCGGAATGTTCAATTCAGAAGGAGACGTTCGATCCGACTACAAGTTAAGCAAGAAAAAATCTCCGCCGATGATCTTGTCAAATATATTGATAATAATATCCCTTCGACATCCACTAATGAACCAAAAAGTCCGTATTATGTAGAATTTTTGATAAAAATAATTAAACGAGTAAGTTAATTCTTCATTCATGAAAGTTTAAATATAGAAATTTAGGTATTATCTACACCACGATTCGACGAAAAATATTATGATGAAAAGTTTTGGGGTGACAGCGATTTTTTGAAATTCAAGAAATTCCTGATGGATTTTTCTTTAAGCGCGAAATGTCTTTGTGCGAGACTTTTAATGCGAAAACCTGTATGGTATAAACTTGAAAAATTGCAAGAAAAGTATTGTTTTAGTTGTTATTTGAATGAAATTTGAGTTTTAGATACAATGAAATTGAAGAATTCACTGAAGCCACTAAGGAATTGATTTCAGCTCAGTTTATCGATGATGGTTTATATATTTTAAAGAATTTTTAATTAAAAATTTTGATTTTTAGAATCTCAATTACGTGATCTAGACGAAGCTTTAGAATTGGCAGACATTCAGGTGCTCAAAAATGTTGCGAAGAAATTCCAAATAGATCCAAATAAGGTAAATTTTTTCTTAAAATGCTAAATGTTTTCTTTTTTTTTGTTTTAAATTTTAGAATCGTCAAGAGCTGAAGCGATCAATAAAAAATTTTGCAAGCTCTCAAAAATCGATTTTCGGTGGGATCGGCGCAATTGGAAACTCGATTTTAAAAAGTCTTCGAAAAGAATTGGGAATGTGCATGAGAATGAAAGAAAGTGTTATCAGATTATTCAAGGTAAATCTTTTGTAAAACTTGAATAATTTTTTAATTAAAAATTATGATTAATAGGCGATTATGACCATCTACTGTCCAATTTCTACAAATTCTGCGCTCTGCATTGACAATTTTCGAATAAATGTGTATCAGGATATGGTGTAATACATATAAAAATATTCGATTATCGTATCAAAAATATATTTTACCTCAGATTTCTGATGCTTCAAATCGCAAATGGTTCTATAAGATTCCCTGCCCCGAATCCGTGCACAAATATCGCAAGCTTTTACCGAAATCGCGACGAACTTTTTGAGTATGTTTCATTTATAATATTGAATTCGAAATGTTAATCAATCTGTTTAGTTAACATAATAACCAAATTTTAATGATTTATTGTAATTTAGGTATATTGAAGCAAAAGATACCGAAAAACATATAATGGAGTTTATTGCATCCGGGCCTTCCGGTCTTCAAGAAGCTTTCAACTTGGGTATGAAAGCTCGAGAGAAAATCGAGAAAATGGACAAAACTGAGTAAATTTAGCCAAATACAGTGCGTTTCACATTTATAACGCAAAATATTGATCTGATTTTTTAATAGAGTTTTTACTGCGTTCACGCGGGTGGCTTTATAAATGTGAAACGTTTGCAAGTGACCAATTTTCAGTGTTTTCAATGCCACTCGGCCAATTTTTCAGATATCATTATGAAAATTGCTACACATATGTATTTTTAGCCCTGAATTCATTTTTGAAAACAGAATTCAAAAATTTTTCACAATTGACAAAGTTATGCCCAAAAACAGGGGTGGTTTTATAAATGTGAAACGCACTGTATTTTTTTAAAACAAATCATGGTCGTTTTCTTTTTTCAGAAAACGAATGATTCTCAATCTTCCCGTATACGAGAGAAAGCTAACAAGTCTTTGGGTCTTAACGCGATGTTGTGGACATACGGTATCGATATTAGAAAAGCAGAAAAATTACGATCTTGCCGTGGAATGGCTCACTTTCATATTACTAAATGATGGTTTAATATAATATACGTATTATCTATTTCGAAACATCCTCATATTTTAGGCCTCAAAGAAATTTGCATTGAAAGTCGAGGAGTTTGGTGGGATCGACTAGCATTGGATCTAGATGCACATTTGAAAGTATTTTTATGGCAAGACGGAATTCAATTAAATTTACGTTTTTAGGATAAGGATGAAGCTCTAAAAATGATTCAGCTTGCTCTAGCTGATGAGCAAGTGATGGAAAAAGAAAAATTGATGATACAGGTTTTAAACAAATGTTTTCTCAGCATATCCATTGTAATAATATTTGCAGGATCGAGCTATTAGGATTGCAAAAGAGAATTTCGAGCAGGTTTTGATTATCGAAGAGCCAATAAAAGTTTGTGATATTCAATATTTACTAAAACAAATAAATTATTTTCAGAAAATGATTTCTTCTCGAACGTTGTCCAAGGATCTAGGAGATGGTCGGTTGAATCGATTTTTGATGCGAAACGAACAGGGAGAAGACGTTGAATGTTCCGTTGAAGAAGTTGTGAGACTTCGATATCTCAGCGATGAAGGATTTAGCCATGGTGTTCTATTTTACATTTTTGTGATTGTTTATATGCATTCCTTAGGATTTCATGACGAAGGGGCGAGTTGGCATACAATTTTTGGAGTACTCTTCAATGATGTTATATTCGATACAAAAAGCTACAAGGACACTTGGCTCAGCGAACTTCAGGTTTCTATTTTCATCATCTGGTCATGTTGAAGTGTCAAAATTTTAGGATTGTCCCATCGATTTAAGCAATACACTATATTCACGACGAGCAGAAGCGTTTGATAAAAGAATCGAATGGTTTCGAAATTCCGAAAATGACGAGATTGAAGCGGAAATTCGAAGAATTTGGAATGAGAAGAGTCACGAGACGAATCGGGAATGCGCTTGGAAATTGTTCCCTGATGGTGTCGAATCTTTCATTGTAAGACGAGCATTTAAAGAATACAAATCAAACATTATGATTTTAGCAATTCTATAATTGTGTTTCACGGGAAAGCCTTCTCGCAATTCTTCAACGATTAGCCAAAAACTATCGAAATTGTCGATCAGGATTTCCGGATTTGACACTGTGGAACCCAACAACCCGTCAAGTCGCTGTCGTCGAGGTTAAAGGTCCCGGCGATCGATTGTCGACGAAGCAACGCCTATGGCTTTCGCATTTCCGAAATAACGGCGTCCGCGCCGAAGTATGTCATGTAACTGCGGATAATGAAAAACGACTGTGATATACATATTATGAATAATTTATATTTATATGTGTTAAAATATATTCACCGGATGCGTTATATACAAATAGGCACTTAATTATGCTAATTTCAAAAAAAAAAGAAAGGACGGTAACGATCACAATTTGCGGGGGTTTCACAACCCATCGTTGACTGGCTTTTAGAATGTTTAAAATAAGTAGTGGTTAAATAAAGTTGAAAGATAAAAACAAAACGATATGAAATTGATGAAATCCAACCTATTCAAAATCAGACCGATCCTGATAAATCGCAATTTTGAGGATCCTCTCCAGAAATGTACCTAAAACGTTCCTTTAAGAATTTCGATTTTTTGGGATCAATAATTTAATTTTCAACCCATTATTTTACAGCGAAATATTTTTAATAATGAACAAAAAGTTATTGTTAAGATTATTTTTTGATAATAAGCATTTTTTTTTTCAAGATTAAACCTAGTATTTTTGGTAATTTTACCTAATTCGTTCCTCGATCCGCTCGCGCCTCTTCTTCTCTCTTTCTTCTTTCTCCTCTTTCGCTCTTCTCAACGCCATTCGAACACGGACCGTATCAAGTTCTCGTGCTTCCGGACGTCTTCCATCAAGTTTCAGCTGAGATTTTTTGATTGAATTCTTCCAAAACCAAACTCGTCGATGTTACCTCTCCGCTTCGTTCGCCGAACAATTCCAGCACCTTCGTTCGATATTCGACAATGTGCCGAATCGGATTCTCTTTAAGCAATAGAATTTCCAAACAAGGGAGCTTGCCAATTGGCATAATAGCTTCTAAAAAACGATATGCAATAAAAAAAAACAACAAAAATTTGTCTCATACCAAGTTTTTCAATATTATTGTTCTTCACATCCAAATACTCAAGCGAATACAACTTTGAAATTCCTGTCAAATCATCAATCGCATTCGCACTTAGCACAAGGCGCTTCACATTTCCCAATTTTTCATTCCAACTGAAATTTGGAATTATTAAGAACTTCGATGAGTCGTCTAACGAACGCTTCCAATTTCACAATATTATTATTGGAGAGGTCAAGTTCCGTCAGTGCGGACAAATACTGCATATTCACACCAATGTCGGTGATCGAATTGTAGCCAGCATTCAGAATTTGTACATTCGGAAGAAGTCGAACACTTTCGTCGAATTCTTTGATTTCATTGAATGAGATATCAATCTCTTCGAGAAGACCCCAAGGCTCCATTTCGGTAATCGGAACATTCTTTTCAATATCTTCTTCGTCGAAAAGAAGGTCCTTAAAAAAATGATAATATGTGTTTAAAAATTTTACGATTACCGAAATCTTCTTCATCGAATAATGAACAACGAGACGGCGAAGTGATTTTCGCACATTGCGAAGTCCACCGATTCGACATACGTCGGAATCAGTAATCTGGAAATTGGTTCAATTATAAGCAAATAAAAAATATCTGTTTTTACCCAAAGAGCTCTGAGATTTTTACAAAAGTGTAAACTCGAATCGAGCGAGTTCCACACAATATTCGACGATCCCACATATCCCTTTTGACCGCGAATTTTCAGAGCTTTGACTCGATGCAAAAAATCAACAGTATTCCCGATATCGGCAACCATATTCACATCTAAACGTTTCAATTAGATTCCAAAAAACGATGCGGTCAATTCTACCAGGCGCAGTTGGCTCGGGAAGGCGGAGTCTTTCGGTGATCGCATGCAGCTCAATCGGAGTGAACTCGAAGTACTTGGGAAAATTCTCGCTCTTCTCGAGCCATGAGTCTCCAAGCTCGCCAAGTCGAACCGACAAATCATCGACGATCGAATGGATCTCCTGAAATCAATTAATAATTCGTTAAGTGACTCGCTACTTCATCTGCTAATCCGAATCTAATGAGAAAAAAAAAACTAGGACGTCGAAAGGTCATCGTAAACGTGCTCCCATTGCTGCTACCCCCTCTCAACCCACACACCATCACTATCCGCAACCACTTATACGCGCCACTAACACCATATGTTCATAATTTCGAATCAATTACATTTTGGATGATGGCGTTTCGTCGAAAAAAAATATAATGTTCGCTGTGCAACGCAACATTTTTCGCCGCCGCCGCCGCCGCCGTCCCTCGGGAACACCTCAAAAACAACAAATGAGGACATGCGGGCGGCGGCATCTCGACAATGAACACAATATTGATGACTCCTTGATGTTGGCTACTGATACTCGCAAATTTTTCGAATACTCGCTGGTTTGGAGGCCAAGAAGAAAAAAAAAACCAACGAATACGACGGTGGCGTTTATCCGAAATTCGTGTTTTTCTAAAAGATGTTTAAACGAATTTAAAACACGTTTTTAAGACATCTGTTAAAAATCATGTTTCTCATCTGCAAAATGGTATATGTGCGACCAGGGAAACATTTTTTCCCTCAATTCTCTATAATTATTTATTTTCGTTCTTCAAATTTTAAAAACTTTCCGGTATTGATTTTTCGTGTTAAAAAGTTTATAAGTGCTTGCCGACCAAAATAAAAATTTATTGAGTTTCATCTGTAAAAAATTTCCGATCAAAACGAAAGCCCAAACTTAAAAGTCGCAATTTTCTACCTGGCTGCTTCTTTTTTTTTATTTTGTCTCTGGCACACCACAATAAATCAAATGAATTATTTATTGACGACAACCTCTCCGATGGATGACTTCAACAACAAAAACGCTTCTCAATTTTCGAAAATTGTTGTTAATACGAGCCTCGGACCCCACTACCCCCCCCAATTGTCAAACGTTAATTGCCAATTTTCGAGTGCGCTTTTCATTAGATGGCTTTTAGACGTAGAGGAGAGCGAAGCATGCATTAAAATACCTAATGATCGTATATTTACACATTACACACATCCATATAAATATAATAGATCGTTTCGCCACCCTCTTCCCCATCGTATCCATATAAACAATCCGGTGGTCCGGCCGAATCGCCGATGGTTGGCAGCAGGAGACGCTTGCCAACAATTATATGGTCAAGAGACGAGACAGGACCACAAAACGATGGGCGAGGTCAGATGTGTATTGCGCGGAGCAGGCGGGCCGACGACATCGATATTGCAACCAAACCCACGTATTATAGCACAAGGTTGCTCTTATATTATTATTATTATACAGACACACATCTGTCTAGTGCCGAATTGGGCACACGATTAGGGGAGAGGAGTGGTAGCCGTCGGCGAGGAGGCCGCGTCTCGCCCATACACGCACATCACCTTTAGCCGGATTAATGAGCCGCGGTGAGCCGGAAATGGGAAATCTATCACATTGAATGGGTTGTGGTGGTCGCATGCGCGGTGTATACAAAGTTGATTGCGGATCTCCACCATAAACCGACACCCGGAATCGACTCCACCATTTAACATGAGGGATCTCGTGTTTAAAATAAAGCGGCGGATACTCACAAAATTTACAAAATTCTCTCTCCCCCCCCCCCTCCTATTATGACCACTGTTTAGACAATTGTTTACTCAAAGTATGGAAAATTAGCACATTTCTTTTAACCTAATAATAGACGAATTCCCTCAATTAGTTCATCAAAATTCCGGTTCTTATTTCTGATGCTTGCCAAGAAAAAAAAAGTTTCATCTTACATCATTTCTGTGCGGCTGCTGCCGGCATGCCCACTTCTGCCCGACTTTTGCCCCGGCCATTCGTGATCTCGCGACAGTGTCAAAAACAAACATTTCTGAATGCGCAGCGCGCCAGAAGGCTACCAATATCAAGTTACGCAAAGAATAAACTTCTTGACCCGTCTGCCACACTTATTAGCGCGCAATTTCCGAAACGTCAACTTCAGCGTCGGCTTCTGATTATGTATGTATGCATATGTGTGCTGTCGTTGTCGTCGATGTGTTCGAACACATCCCTTGGCATCTTGCCAACGACATTCGGACGCCCCCCCACACACACACATAACAAAACTGGGCGGGGCCATTGACCTCTTCTCGCGCACGCCGAGCGCACCATCCTCCCGTCTATTCTAATCCGTTGGCCGGCTGCCAACCAATTCGAAGCACAAAACGGCGACGAAGAGGAAGAAGACCACTCGTTTTCGCTCAGCGATCCCTCGCAACTCCTCCTCTTCCGGACCAAACTCGTCGTGTTTTACATACTCGTTTTGTTGTTGTTGTTGTTGTTGTTGTTGCTGCTGTCGTCGTCGTCGTCGTTTTTTTTTCTCACTCTCCTACTCGTTACAACAATTTGGTCATATTCCTCTTGTTGTTTTTTGCAGGACCCGAAAACCGCCCACCAAATTCGTCATCGAACAATAATAGAGCCACACGCAGCTCGTCTATGGAGATTCCAGGTAAACATTCGAATAACAACCACAACCAGTTGTCTCCTACTCTTCAATTTGCTAACACACCGTCCGTTTTTTCCTCTCAACAAATTGACCAGTTCTCAATTGGGCATCTTTTTAGCACACAATCTCATTCGCATCTCATCAACTCAACCTCGAATGCCTTATCTAGAAGTAGTTGAGTTGCAAATCTATTTGTCAGACAATTCCTCCTCTTCGTTTTCCCTTGCGGCTCTTGTCAATTATGTATGTGCGCTTTTGAACTCCAACCTCGGTACTCACATTCATTTTTTTTTTCGTTGGTTCCCATCTCATTACAACAATGCCGTCGCATAAATGGGCATAGGGAGTCCATTATTATTTATGGGTGTGCCCGCGCCTAATTATGTGCACATTTCGCCTTCCAAGACCAAACAATAAGAAAACCGACTGGCAAGAAGTTATTAATTATCGCCAGGTTGGACAAATTGCTCTCATAGTAATATTATGTTCATGCGACTAGGGGCAAGTCCAAATTTGGCGTCGTTATTGACACAACTGATCATCCACATGTGCCCGTCTGATTAAGCTGCGATGCTACCTACCGCTCCAAACAATATCACGTTTCGAAACGTCAATTTTCCTTTTGCCTCATACAGCCTATGGGGTCCGAATCAGTGCTCGGCGAGCATCTATGTATATATGTGTGTGTGTGTGCATATAAGAAGACGAGGTCTATTGTCGAAATTAGATTGGTTCTGACGTCGACGCGCAGCCAATTTCACCGTCTGTCATCACATTTGTTTGTATGTTGCGCGCTTATCCGTTACCACATAACTTGCCATAAATTATTCTAATAGCGACACTTGAGAGAAACTTGTTCTCAAAAACTAGGCGGAGACCCTTATGAGGAGCCTTTTTGTGCTCAAACTATTGCAATTTCAAGTGTCTTAATCTAAACTATATTAAAAAATTATTATTTTCTTTCGAATTGCACTTCTCGCAGATAATTTTGTTCCTACTCCACATACTATTTCTAAATTTCGAATCGTCCCGTTTTCGATTTCCGTTTCGGCCTTAATCCTCTTGTTAGGCGAACACTCAAATTACTAGTAATAAAATTCCACTTATGCCAATTCGGGTCGGCGCCGCAAAACTTTTACGTCTGAAACGAAATCTAGAAACCGAGAAAAAGACAGCTGCTCGTTTCGTTCTCATCTTCAAGGAGGTTCGTCGACAAACGATTTGTCTCATCCATTTTCTTGATTAAAAAGCGTTAAGCGTTTCATCTGACGAAACGCAACTACTTGAGAACGACGAAATGCCCCCATCAACTGAACGAGGAGACGACAAAAAAAAATACACGCAGAAATTCATTTCAAGCATCCGACGACGATAAGCCTCAACAACGACAACAACACTAACAAGGAGTCTTTTCATGTCGCCCGCTTCAGCAAATAATAGTATTTTTCTTTACTTGTTCTTCTTGTTCAACTGCTAGTTAGGCACCAAGTCCAAAGGAACCCTCGGGTATTGTTGTCGTTGTTGTTGTCGTGGTCTACCTGACCCTATGGCGAATAATACCGCGTAATTAGGCACTCCGAGTTCATCACAACACCTCATAAACAAGCAAGCATAAGCCGCACCTGTCCGCCCCGCATTCCCCATTTTGCATAATTACCATTATGCGCCATTATTCAATGATTAGCTTCCGTTCGGCTAGTTTTCGCGCATTGGTGAAAATTCGACCCATGTTTCTGTTCTTCCCTATCATCAACATCATGTTGACATGCGGTGTTGTCCGCGCGAGCAACTTCGAGTGAAGATGGAGAGAAGGAGGAGCTCACCGAACACACACACATACATTCACATATTACACATTTATGCCCTTTTCACCCTCCTTCATACGATAATTGTTTGGTCAAACCGTTCACTCAACGCGTTTCAATTCGTTTTACAACAATCGAGAGCCAACAAAACCATTTTTTTTTGAAGCCAAACCGCGGCATATGGCGGTTTCGACCAACATATGTGCTTCATATCGGATTCCCATTTTCAGGATTGCGCATTGGCGCGGAAATTAGCTACATGTTCATGTTCGTCACACACCGAACATCGTGATTCAAAAGTAGCGAAATTCTAGAATTTGCTCCGATATTTTCAACAATCCACTTCATCAGCTATCGTCGAGGCCGTCAAATTAAGAGTATTGTGCTCTTAGCAAATTTTTCTTCTCTGTTAATTATATTTCAAAATTTACGAAAAAGAAATGATAGTTTAAACAAATCAAAACATTTTTTGGCAGCTTTTTAATCATCAAATCGAATTTCATCACATTTATTTACAAGAAAAGCTTACTAATGTTTCGTTTTTCTCGAAATTTCTTATCTGTATGATCAACAGTGTATTCGGCCTCTTTACTAGAGCAATGTTGTCATGTTGGAGGTCACATTTTGTTGTTTTCTCCGCCCACATGAAACCATTCATATATTTGGCTGGTAATCCTCTTAAACTTTTTCTTTGTCGATTTCTTTGCGCGCGTGAGAGCGTTTCAATTCCCGCCGTCGCATCTCGTTCCCGGTGTGCCATCCCGTAAAGCAAACAAAACTCCACAAAAAGAAAAGAAACAGGAATGAATGTGGAGTTTTGTTGGCATTTTCGCGCAATATACCCCTATGGGCATCAAGTCGCCATCAAATGAACCATCTTCTGATTCCGATTCCTTCTAGCAGAACATCCTATCACCATCTTGAATCACCGCGTCCCACTGATCTTCCTAATTATTTACCTCTTGAGAATCCGTATTTCACAGCAATTCGAAATGGTTAGAAATCGACAATCCATTCAAGAATGTTCCTATTGAATTCAATTCGTTCTATTCGTAGAAAACACTCGACTCGACGAATCCGGCAGAGATCCACGTCACGTTCACGAGGAAGCGGTCGAGGAGAACGGCGACGAGTATATTCCGCATTTCGAGTACTACGAAGGCGCTGAGGATTTTCCCATCAAGTCTCCTCCTGAGCAACAGGCGGCGTTAATATATCAGCCTCCTACCAAATACCACACGATGGCGGTGCTTCCAGGTAAACTTGTCATGAGAATCCCAAAAAATTGATAACCGTTTCTTTGAAGGCCGCTGCGTTCGTGGGTTTCTCGACTCGATTTCGCTGATCTTCAGCTTAGCTTTGGTCGTTTTGCAATTCGGTTTGCTCGATTGGTATTATATTCATGTTACTGGCGAGAACATCTGGGCCGCATGGATTGGTCCCGATTCACTAGTCGTCGTTCTTTTACTCGTCTTTGGAATTCTGGCCATCAAATACAATACTGTTCAAATGGAAGAAGTCTGCTCTGTCGGTGAGTCCCACTGATTTTGAGATCATTCAAATCAATCGTCTGATTTCCAGACAGTCGCGTTAAGTACGCTTGTTTCGCATGGGGAGCTTACGCTGCCGTGCTCATCTCCAAGATCGCCGCCTGCTTCCGCCTCTTCTACGAGCAAATCCCACCAGGACCACTCGACAACAACGACAAACTCTTTGACGACTTCTTGTTCAAAGCCGCCCTTTCCCTCTCGGTCCTCATCTTCTTGTTCATTTTCGAGGCCCACCACTACACACCGTTGGTGTCGGTACGCCAAATTTACGTTTCCTACCTCGTCACCGCGATCTGTCTCGATCTCATCGATAATATCTACTTCCTTGACCTCCTCTGGCAAGCATCCAAAGACAACTGGAATCTGGAGTACTGGCTTGAATTGACCATTCTCATCGTCGCGTGCTTCAACTTCTTCATGCCAACATTCGCCTTGTGGAAACTTCGTTACGCAAAAATCCCGAGATTCCTTCTTCTCAGCGAAAAATTCTGGTCGTTCGTCTACGTTCTTGTTGTAAGCTTCTTACAAGCTATTATCTCAATTTTACAATATTTCGATTTATAGGTCAATGGTCCCTTCCTCGGCCTCCGCATCTATCTTTACATTGTTCTCGAAGTCCAACAGAAAGGAAAACGCTATGATCCATCGTTGTTCGCCGTCAAGAACATCGCAATGATCTACATTGCTCTCCGCGAGCTCTGGACCCGTTTGCAGTACTGGAGAATGAAGAGACGCGCCCAACTGTGCCGCAATGAGCTTGCCGCTGCCATTCAGAATGAAGAAGAGCAACATTAGACGAACTAATGTGCCATATTTAGGTGAATACCAACAAAAATGAGCTAATTTGTAAATATAATTATTTAATAATTTTGTTCTACTGCCATTCTTTGCACCCAACTTTACGTACAATTTCCCCCCGCCGCATAATATTACTTTTTCTCTTGTTTGGAGATTCGATTAACATGCAAATAAATAATTAAATTGCCAAACTCACATATTGATGAAAGTCGAAAAATTTCGCAGTGAGCAATGGAAGTGAGTGCACTTTTTTCTGCTTCTGATACCAAACTTCAAGCTCCAAAAGGGCTCGAACATATTTCTCGAGCTCAATTCGACGCTCTTCTAAGAATTCAACGTCCTAAAAAGAGAAAAGAAACATTAAAAATCGAGGAAAAACTAGTAAAACTTTATTTCCCAATCGTTTCTTCGGCGGCAAAAACGATTTTTTACGATCAGGGAATCTAACGACGTCATAATTGTCGAATTCGCTGTATCTCCGTTCAACAGTCCACGTATAGGAGTCGATAGTGATTTGAATGCGGTAAACCTGCAGATGATCCCATACATCAAATACAAAAAATTGCTAAATTATAGATTTTTAATTTGCACAATTTAACAGACTTTCTGATTGTGAGTTTTAAAGCATTTCACGGATTATATCAATTAATTAAACTCGAAAATTCTCACGTAAAATGGGGGAAATGGTTATTTTATGGGCAGACATTTCATTTTTTACCCTATCGTTTGGTTTATTTCGTAGATCTACCACTTTAGTTTTGCCCAATATTTCATCCATTTGGTCAATTCTCCCCCGGTGTCACGAATACAATAAGCTCGAGTCGTCTTCTTCTTACTATGCGTTTTTCGTCAAAAATTAAAATAGAGCAACTTGCACATTTTGTAAAAAAAACAACAAATTCGAGAAATTTAAATAAACAAACGTGCGTCACATTTTTTCTGATTCACGGTAAGTAAGCTTCGCAGGTTATCCAGTACGGTACCCCCGAATTCCCATTGTTTAAATTCGAATTTTATTTACCGCCTCGAAAAAGTGCGATGGTCCACAATTATGCAAGGCGCTCTTGTTTTCGCGATGGTGATACATAGTAATCTATGCACCTTTCCCGCATTAACTCGAAAATAGTTGTCTAACATAATTTAAAACCTTTTTATTGAGAAATCTCAATTTCGAGATCTATCATGACTACTCTGTCAAAAATGCAATAACGATTGCTCTGATTAGTATAGCATCAAGCAGCTTTCGAACCACTGAGACATAACATGATAGGAAATCAGTCTCTCTAAATATAATTGTCTTGTTTTCAATACTTTTTATGACTTAATCAATTGAAATTTTAATGGCCATCAATGGTAATTAAAATGAATAATTCTCACCGCATATTTTCCTTCTTCAGCCAACCGATAATTGAGAATCTTGGCGTTGAAATTTGAATCCATTTGTGGCGATACTGCTTCAATATTCAGCATCGCCATGGTTGGCTGAAAACGGCGGGATTCCATGAGAAATGGCAATCACACAGACACGTATGGTTTAGAAAAATAGCAATAGGTGAGAACCATTCGCAAGCAAGACAAAAAACGAACAATGCAAAAATGAGTCATTTTTTCGCGAAAAATCAATTTATTATTAATAATTCAAAAACAATTGTTTAATATTGTCATTTATACAAATGAGACCAAAGACGGCTTCACGTGTGCACAGAAAACGAAATGAACAACAATGGAATTTCAGTAAAAACGCGAAAAAGCGGTGAGAAACAGAGAATAATAGGGTTGATTAAAACGGCGAGAAACGACCGAATTGGTGGTTGTTTTGTCTGTTTACTCAATGACGTCCCCCTTGGCTCCGAGACGCGTCGGATCTTGACTCGGATAATAGATTCCGCTGCCCGAAGCAGACGACGAAGAAGCTTCACTCGCTGAAAACAATTATTATTCGTTTTATTTTTGCGTATGAGTTGAATTGAATATAGCTGCAGCAACAACACGACTTTTAAAGTCGATAGAATTCGAGACAGAACAACACAAATTTACAAGGAAACTTACAACTTTGAGAAACTGGAACTATTTTCGGAACGACAAGCCGAGTTGGTGCAGCGAAGAGTGGCGGCACTGGTGGAAGTGGCATAGACGATCCCGTGAGTCTCTGTTGATTTGACGATGATGGGATTAGTCCAGCCGGAATTGGTACTAAAACACAAATCATTCAATGAGAACAGTAGATAAAAGACATACGTGTCGGAACTGATGGCACTGGATTGACATATGTCGAATTGTCCGCAGCTTTCTTTGCATTCGGTTCTCCCCAACGAATAGTAAGACGACGATCCTTGAACAAAAAAAACTGATAATGAATCTCCGTGCATTCATCTTACCTTAATATACACCTTATTGAATGATCTCTCAGCAGCTCGTTCAGCCGATTCTCTGGTTGTGAATTCAATAAAAGCGCACCCTTTTTCAACAAGGACTCGCAAATTTCGAATATCTCCGAATTGGTAAAAGTAGTCATTAAGTTCCTTCTGTGTGACCTGCAGTGGTCCAGCCGGTCCCAAATTTCCAATGTACAATGTGGTGATTGATGTATCTGCTGGCGGAGCAAGTGTCGGCATCGCTTTCGAGCGATTCAAAATCTTCTCGGCAACCGGATCATTCGCACCATAATAACGGTCTTTAATGTTTTGTCTCGACAACGGATCATCTGGATCGGTTGGCTTTTCGTGTCTGAAATCATAAAATTGCAAGCGTTTTCAAATCAAAAAAAAAAAAATAAATCAATCGTTTTCCATAAATTGCTGATAAGGCGATTTGAATTCGAAATGATTTCTAACCTATATGGGCATTCTTCTCCTCTTTTGCACTCTCCTTTAACAAAGAACGAGCAAATATGCGGCGCATTTCGCTTATAATATGGAGCTGTTCTGGCCAATCTTTTGAGACGCTCATGGGCTGCCTGATCCATACTGTTCGCAATTTGTGCGATTGGCTGAGTTCCATCGCCCTGAGCCAATTGCCTTAAAAACTTGCTTTATTAAATGAGCTTATGAATTGCTTCGTTACCTTTCAACATTTTGCAAAAAGAAATCCCGATTTGCACCCTGTTTTGGGATATTGTCAGCAATCTGAAGTTCATGATCGCGAACTTGCACAGGAAGTCCTGAAAAAATTGAAACGAATTACCGATACAAGTAAATATCGAAATTACCATATTCCAAATCGAACATACAAGTCTGACACACATTTTTGACTTTTGAGCATGTCTGACAGAGCTCAGTACTCTTGTATCTGGCTCCCTTTCCGGGCTGCCATCTGAACGATGTGAATGGGCGCTCACAAATCTTGCATTCCTTTCCAAATTTGTCTTTCATCTACAAAAGTTAAAAATTTAAGAAAACGAATTAGAATACAATCTGAAAAAAACCAACCATTCGAATATAAGGATTCACTCCTAAACACGTTTCACACAAAATCGGCGTCTCAGCATCTTCCCAATTTTTTCTGTTGTATTGCGAATATGACGATAATGACATAGACATGATTGCAAACTTCTGAATAAGACAGAATTAGGCAAATATGGAAACAGTAATAAATATCGTATGAGGTATATTCATGGCTGTAAACCGATGAAATCAAAATTTAAATTTAAAAAATAGAAAGCAAAATATATTTATTAATGACCGGCTCGAATGTAAGAAAAATCAACAAGAAACCGAAATAAATATGATAATTAGATAGAATATGAAAAAGAACAAACAAACAAATCCCAACAATAGAAATTCCTAAGCAATTCTTTGTTTGATAGTTTCAGCAAGCGCGTCCAAAGGAACATCCTGAATTCAAACAATTAACGCCGCAAGACCCATAGAAATACGAACCGTTTCCTCTCTGGTAACCACATTTCTTAACTTGACAATTCCTTCCTGAATTTCTCGCTCCCCAATAATGATTACCAACGGAATTCGTCGTTCTTCGCAATATTGCAGTTGCGTTAAAAGCTTCGGATTCGCTTTATAAGCCATTTCAGTCTAAACTATTCAATCATGCCGGCGATATTCATGAATTGACTACCTTAATTCCAGCATCCCACAGCTTATTGCAAAGCTTCATTCGCTCCTTGAGTAGATTCTTTTGAGCCGAAGCAACGAACACCTCTGTTGCCGATGTTCTCAGAGCGTTCGCACCCCTTTGACGGGCTTCTTTGATTGCGAACAATCGCTCAATTCCAAACGAAACTCCGACGCATGGAACATTAGTCTTCGCAGCAAACATGCCAACAAGTCCATCGTATCTAAATTGGAAAAATGCGTTTAAATTAGAAAATAAACAAATTTTACCTTCCACCAGCGGCAACTGAACCAACTCCAACAGGTTGGCCGGCAGTCTCTTCAGATTTTTCGACTTCGGTTCCTTCCAAAGCTTCTAAATCAAATTGTTTTAAGTATAATTATACAAATGATAAAATTTACTTGGAGCAACAGCTTCATAAATAGCACCAGTATAATAATCGAGGCCTCTGGCTAAAGATGGCTCGTATCTAACAGATTTCACATTGTAAAGCTCGCAATACTCGATGAGAAGCTTCAATTCAGCACAACCCTTTTTGAATTTCTCATTTTTTCCCAAATCCTCGAGATCTGCCATTTTGTCAAGAAGTTGAGTGTTCGAAAGATCAGGATTTAGTTCTAAAAAGAGAAAAACTATTCGCAAATTCATTCTGAAAAAAATACAATTACCTCTAAATCTTACAAACGATCCTAATTTTGTGGTTTGCTCGCTGTTGAGACCCTTCTCCTTGATCATTTCCTGCTCAACTTCTTCCCAAGGCGTCTTGTCAAGTTTATCAACAGATGAACAGATGGTTTTAAAGTCTTTTGGCGAAATTCCAGAAACGGCAAACATTCCTTCCAAAATCAGACGGTGATTCAACTAAACATTTTGAATTTCCAGTGTAGTTATTTTTACTCAAATTAGCTCACGTTAACATAGAATTCGCCAATTTCGAGGACACCTAGAACATCGTCAACAATCTTCAAACATTCCGCTTCCGGAAGCATTAAATCATATTGTCCAGCAATATCGAAATCCTAATAAAACTTTTTTGAAAATTAAAAAAAGGATAAAAACTCACACATTGGTAGAATTCGCGATATCTTCCTCTCGTCATCACTGGTTGATCTCTTCTGTATACTTTGGCGATATGGTATCTTTTAATGTTCGTCACTTTGTTCATGGCAAGGTATCGAGCAAATGGAACCTACATTATAAATAATTATAATACAATATTGACAATATCACCTACCGTCAAATCATATCTCATCGATAGCAACTCTCCTCCTTGATCTTGCAAATCATACACCAATTTTCCTCCTTCTTCTCCATATTTTCCCATCAAAACCTATAAAACTATTATTTTTTTTTAACTTCAAAAAATTCTTACATCGCGAAGCTCAAAAACTGGAGTGTCAATGGTTTCGGCACCGTGCTTTTTGAAGGCATCGGTGATGATCTTGAGAACTGATTCTCTAACAGCCATTTGGGCCGGTCCATAGTCTCGCGTACCTAAATAATACTTCTAATTTTAAATTTCTGTAAGTTAATATTACCCTTTGGCGTTTTGAGGACGAATTTTCCAGAAGGTTGCTCATCTCCAAGTGCCGCCTTCTTCTCAAGCATACGCGCAACCCGCTCCTTGATCTGAAAAATTACAAATGTTCAATAGTTTGCAAAAAACTGCAATTATTATATTTATTTAACAAAAATTAGTTATTATGAATGGTAAACAAGCGCACCCGTCGTCCACCCCTTTGTGCATAACCGATACGCGGTTTCGAAACATTTTCATACAACTGCGGTGAATTGGCGATTTTTGAAATGATTGAGCGAAGCATTTCGGCTTTCACTAAATAAAATGTTTTTCGCAAATAATGATGGACGTAGTAAGAATTGAAACGAAACGCTCAAAACAGAAAAACTGAGAGGGTAAGTACGTTTTCACAATTTTCTTTAACAAATTAATTATGAAAAGATCAAGGTTAATTTATTCAAAGATTTTGCACCAGAATTTGATAAAAAATATAATTGCCTCATAAACCTTGGACTCTACAAAAGAAAAACAGAAAAGAATGAAGACTTCATTCAGTTTGTAAAAGAAATCAATTTCTATTACTATCATTTTTACTATTTGAAATATTCAAAAGAAATATGTAGCTCGGGGAAATCTTTACACCCTTAATTTAAAAAATATGCTTTAAATTTTGTTTTCATTTATAGAAAAAAAATAATAAATGGCTCTAATTTATTTAGAAATAAACTTAATAATTTACTTACAACGGCGGGGTCGGCTTTGTTGGCTTTCAATGCTCGGATTTCATCTCCAAGAACCTTGATCTCTTCCTGAAGGGATTTGCGTTGTTCGGCGGAAAGCTCGGCCGGCATAAATTTGGCGAATTCTGCTATTTAGCAGTACTATGTGTATTACCTGACAATACAGAATTTATAATCAAAAGAATCGACATTGACTGAGAGGAAACAAATTGGTATTAATTGAATGGTTGCGAATGAAGAGAGTGTGCAGAAGGCAGACGCATTTCAATGAATAATCCAAGGTGTGCGGTGGTCCATATTTGCAACAAATGATTAAAAGTCCGCAGATGAATGGTCGAATTCCTTTTTATGGCATTTCCTTATATTATAATTATGTTTTGGTTGGAAAATATCTTATTCAAAATTCTCAACTATTTTAATCGTTTCCGTTTCCATTATTTTCTATCTGAATTAGTATAAACAGAAAAAAGCTTTTACGAAAAAATGGAAATTGCATTAAATAGTCCGCAATGAACTTTTGGAGGATATAATTCGAAAAAATGAACAATATGCATTCTTTAGCAACTACAATGGTCGATTATTGTTTATTCAATCGATTTCGTAAACCATTCAAATATCATATTTCAGCCGTTTTATGCCAAGAGTACGACTTCGAAGTGATGTGAACGCCGAAAGCTGGATTTCAAGAATGAGCCGCCAAAAATGGACAAAACATCATTTTTATGTGTTCGTTCACACTTTTATGAGGTAGATTTTATTAAAGTTGTGAATTTCAATTTTGAACCGAAATGTTCAGTTATGCAATGCTTCACGCTACTAGAAAAACCCTATCAACTGTAAAACCTTCGCTAATTGAAACATGGACAAGAAATTCGTCGACTCCTCACGGACCATTATTTCCAACGAAACAATCAGCCGCCGAGTTTCTTGGTGGTCTCGATACCGGATTCATGGTTGCATATGCCGTGGTAGGACCCAGTTATGAAATACTCCGAAACCAAACAATTTAGGGTTTATTCGTTTCGGGAATTCTTGGCGATATTTACAATCCCAGACGAATGTTGGCTATTGGCATGTGGTTGTCCTCGATTACGGTATTCGATATTTTTACATTTATTTTTCAATATATTTTTTGTTTTTAGGTTCTAAACTTTGGGTTTGTAACCGAAGAATTTCATTTCTATTCTCCTGCTGTCTACGCAACGCTTTGGATAGCAAACGGACTAATTCAATCAATTGCATGGCCTGTTGAAATCTCAATAATGGGTAACTGGTTTGGTCATAATGCACGCGGAGCAGTTATGGGCGCATGGTCTTCATGTGCAAGTGTTGGAAATATCATTGGGACCATGATTACCAGCCACTTTTTGTACATGGGATACCAGGTAAGTGGAGAAAAAATTGAAATCGGAAAACGAAATGAACTCTACTTCAGTTTCCATTCCTAATCACTTGCTCAATTTTATTCCTTTACGGAATTCTCGTCTTCATGCAATTACCGTCTGCACCATGGGAAGTTGGAGCACAAGAAATACAGTCAACAAATTTGGAAAATAACATTGATGATGATGATGATGAACCAACAGAAAGACCACCACCTATTGGATTCTTTAAAGCATGGCTCTTACCAGGAGTTATTGCAGTAAGTTTGAGTTATTTGAGGGCATAATATATTCCTTAATCTTTACAGTATTCTCTCGCTTATGCATGCTTGAAACTAGTCAACTACGGATTCTTCTTTTGGCTGCCGTACTATCTGCATAGGTAATAATTGTATATTTAAAAACCAAAAAAACTATCATTTAAGTGGATTGCATTGGCCTGAAGAGTATGCCGACAGTCTTTCCACTTGGTACGACGTTGGGGGAATAATTGCAGCAATCCTTGCGGGGGCATTTTCTGATAAAATGCGCTCGAGAACGCCAGTGGTATTCGTTATGCTCATTTTATCGACATTCGCTTTATACATTTATGCGCGTATGTTCAAATCGCAAAAATTACTATTTTTGTAATTTTCGATTTAAAGATTCCCCACCGACTTATAACTGGAACGCTTTTCTGCTAGCAATAGCGGGATTTTTCGTCGGAGGACCAGCCAACATGATTTCGAGCTCAATCACAGCAGATCTGGGTATTTCAAAAAATTTCAAAAATTAGTTTGAAAAGATAATTAAGGCAAATGTGAGCAGCTTTGTGGGAATTCTGAAGCGTTGTCTACAGTAACGGGTATTATTGATGGAACTGGAAGCATTGGAGCAGCTCTCGGTCAATGGTTCATTCCATCCATTCAACTATGGTTTGGCTGGAATGCTATATTCTATTGTTTCATAATTATGGTAATATATTTAAATAATTGATATAATTTCGAAATTGAAGATGCTTTGCACTGCGAGTTGTCTTGCTCCCGTTCTTTGGAAAGAAAGAAAAGAACAAATTCATATCCATGATAGAGAACAAGACGCGCTTTTGAGAGGTTCTGATACAAGCGACGATGATAATGAGGATGATGTTCATTCTATTAGAAGGAGACCCGTTGGAACAGCAGTTTAAATACTTTTATGTACAAAATTTATTGCCTTCTATTGTTACCGGTGAAATGTGAAAAATTTCCAATTTATTAACTTTCCTGTGATATATTTTCAATAAGCGGCTGTTGAATTAATATAAACAATTGTGAAAACAATATTAAAAGTTTTTTTTCAAAATCGTTTTACTTTTTTTTAGATAACTGGGGAAATTAAATAGTATACGCAGAGTTCGTAAAAAAAACTGATAAAACCCTCAATAAACTCTAAACCTAACTGCAGCGCAAAAATGTCGTTTTAACTAGATTTTCAGCTATTTTTAAAATCTGCATAACACCGAAATAAGCATTAATTTGACAAGCAAGCAAAAGAATTAAGAAAAAATAGGACGCGAGTTTTCGAAAAATTAATTTTCGAATTTCGCAATCGACTACGGTACGCAAAGTGTGTAAACACCAAACACTCTGCGGTACCAATCGATTGTTGACAGCAAATTTCGTAGCGATTTCAGAACGCTCGCGATTTGTGCTTTAGGTTGGAATCGTTTGAAATACAGGTTTTCGTGCCAATTTTTATGTTTTATCACTTTAATCACAAAGCGCGACTAAAATAATGCGGCACATTACAAAATTTGCTTTTCATAAAACTTAAAAATCACATAATTTTAGGACCAATTTTTAATGTGTTTGTTGTTTTGCGTTTTTCTACTGAATTACAGGAACTTCGGGACGTCGATTACTACCCATCTTGCAATATTTTCGCCTCCCAAATTTAATTTCTTGAGAAAAATATTCCGCCATATAATCGCGTGATCGGTCGACTTTAAAAAGTGTCATTTTTTGCGAAATAGTTCGCATCGCATCATTATTGTTATATCAAAATTTAGGAGCTTTTGATATTTAAAAAAGTGTGTGATTTTAAGATGAACTCGGCTAATATGGCGAGTTTTGTGATTCCGAAAAAGAAGAAGAAGAAAGTCGAAGTGGAAACAGAAAAAGGTTTGGATTCGACACACCGTTTCATTCAGGATAACTTGAGTATTAAAAGGGATATTTGCAACAAATGTTTCATATTAATCAAAGCGTTATTGTTTTATTTCTAGCATTCTTAATAGATTCCCACCTATCCTAACAAATTTGAGTAAAGAGATAGTGATAAAAAATACGGGAAGCATTATTCAAGACTATTTATTATTATTATAATTCCGGTTAAATATTGAATTTAATTTCGCTGTAATTCAATATTCAGATTTGACATATTCACAGTAATTTTCGGAATTCATCAAAAATTTTTTGAAAGTTGGATCTGTAGTTTACAAGCGTATTTAAAATAAACTTAAACCTCGTAGTTGACCACATGGGCATTGGCTTCGTGGATAAACTTTTAATTTTAAAATTAGCAGTAACTCATTAGTTTGAAGGTATTGATTTTATTTTTTTTAAAGTTCCTAATAGTATATAAATCGATATAAATCGAGAGCGCATAATCAATATCAAATCTAAATGTATTCCTTGAAATTGAAATTTTTTGTACTAACAATATTATGTGGTGTTTGGTTCCGAATAACCTAATCTTACTAATTTTTTGAACCAATTTATATTATTTACATTGACTTAGTTCTTAAAAAAATATATTATCATTACAAACGAAATCATAGTCGCTAATTTTCTAAATTTAGAATAAGTTTTTACTACATAATTTATAAAAAATTTCAATTTTCGAATATTTCGCCTTCGATAATTGATTCTTTTTTCTTTTTTTGAAAAAAACCATGTGGATGCGTATTGATTGACCCATTTAATTAGTTTCATGACGAAATATTGCATTACCTTCGCTTTTTCGATGTCAAGGTCACGAGAATATTCGGCTTATTTTGCCCATTTTGGGAGAATTGTGAAAAATCAAAAATTAGCAGGATTGTTTAATATTTTCGTCGAACCTTTTCCGAACTTTTAAATTACTGTTTCGGAAAAAGTGATTAAAAAAAACAGATTTAATTATATTTGGATAAATATTTTTATTAAGATGATTAATTATCAAATGTTCTGAGATGTTTAAAAATCACTAAACTTAATTTTGCTCATAATAAAATTGTTTTCCAATATTTGACGTTTAAAATTATTTCGCTTCCATGGAAATGTTTCTTTTTTCATGATTCACGTTTTCTCATACAGCGATGACCGATGAATCTCTTCTTAAATGTTTGTCGAATTTGTCGAAAGAATGCGCGTGAGAGAGAGAGAGAGAGGCAGAAACCTGTCTAGTGCACTTGCAAACTCGTGATGTTTTAAAAAATTGTCGCCCATTAGGTTATGCGGTATTCTTGAAAGACACCGCGAATTAAATTTAGTGCAGGAAAGATATTCACCCAAGATGACGGATTATTTTTAGAAATTAGTGAAAAGAAAGATTTTCAAAATAAACTTCACATTTTATATTTCAAAAGTATTAATGCGCATATTACTGTTGATTTAAGACTTTGAAATTAAAAATTACTATCGATTTGAGAAAAAAAAAACAAAATTTCAACAATTAGGATTAAGAAAAAATTAAATGTGAAGGAGAAATAGATGAATGTTAATAATCTGTTTCAGAAGTCGTCGCACCACCAAAAGGACAATTCAAAAACACGAAAGCGATTGATGATGAAGCAAAAAATTTGTTTAAAAGGTTCCAGACCTATTTCGTGGATAAAGAATTTGCGCGACATCTGAAGTGTGAAGAATATCGCACTATTAAAAATCCGTATTTAGAATGGAAGGTATGATATCGAACCTAGAATTAACATTTTTAATTATTCGAAATCTTTTGGATTCGAATTTTAAAATTCATTGTAAAAATGAATTTTTCGATTTCAGTTCGACGAGTTCAAGAAATATCTGAAATCAATCGGCCAATCTGATCAAGAAACATTAGGATTCCGGGAATCTACGGGTGTCGAAGAAGAAGAATTTATTGCAAAAAATGGGCTTCGAGTTGGAAGCACCAAAATCGGAGATATTGGAGATCCAGAATACGGTAGATTCAGAATTGTGCTGACAAAAAATATGAATATTATAGGAGTTTATGTGTACAAGAGCCCGGAAACTGTTAACTCGTCACTTTTCTATTTTGAAAAAATGAAAATACGAGTTATGATGTTCAGAACATTAAGGTGGATTATTGCAACGCCAGAATATTTATAGTAACATCAATTTTAGGGGAAAACCTTACATGGTAGGGATAGGATCCGGCGAAATGGAGCCCCAATCGGGACATGTGTGCCATGAGGCCACTGCTACAGAAAATGAAAGAGGAATGAATAAGCGAAAATTGGATCACGCACTCGCAGCAACATATCACTATGAATTTAAGCCTGATGGAATGAGCACCTACAAATTCCCAGCGGGCGTTCTTCCAGTCGCCGTCATCGTTTTCAGTTTGGAGCCGAACTCACGCGTGAAATCGCCTTTAGTGTATGAACGCTGATTGAATTATGAATTCCAAAATTGTCGAAATCATTCAGATCCTTGAAATACCCGTGTTTTGAATTGCATCAAGTTCCGCTGGACGAGCCGATTCTTTTCAAAAATTCCGCATTCAACAACATTCCGATCAACTTTTATTCTCCGCTTCGTTTCGCCGAGGTTCCAAATGGACTTTTCTCCATCGAGTTTCCACAAAATCCGTTCTTCCCAATTCGAAAACTTGACACTATCGATGAGATCAATGTTCTGCGAAATGAAAAATTCGGATCATTAATTACATCGTTGGAAGTTTATCTTCCAAGAAATGAAAAATCCCGAGTATATCCGGCTTTAAATATTATCTATTCTTTTTTGGATTTTCAGGAAAAATTCGCATCGTATAGCGTTATAAAACCTGCGAAAACCGAAGATTCGCGATTTAAACAACTTATCAAATCGATGAGGCTTCAAGGAGCGGTAATATTTCGCATTTTTTTTCCTGTTCCTAATATATTTTTTTTAAAGTTTATTATGGGAATGGATTATTTGGAGACAATGCACATCATGTTTCCTTCTGGAGAGGTTGCAACGTCGTTAGGAATTCCATATAAAGATGGTATTTAACAATTTATACTTTTATTCGAAGTTTTTTATACCTTTTATTTGAAATTGTCATTATGTTAAAATTTTTGAGATTTTCTCTGAAATTGTTGAAAATCGCCCGAGAAAAATATTGTTTTAGATGTTCTTCATGTGGTTTCTATCGCAAATTATAATTTATTTATTGTGGACTTCGATATTTCTGCGCATGCGGATATGGGAGGCAAATACGCGCAGCAGTACGACCTCATTCTCGTTTCAAATCTAAAAATTTTGTGTCTAGAAATTTCACGTCCGACGTTGAATTGCGAGTAGATGATTGGTTTGAAGAAGCACACGAAGATTATTTTTCGGAAAAGGAGAAACTTGCTTCTTCTGATGAATTCGTTCTAAATGTGCTGAACCAACAAAACTCGCCGACCAACGATTCGTTGAAATACTTTGTCCCACTTCCACCTGCAGGGAAGAGCATTTTGTATAAAGGACCTATTATCGACGACAGCTGTAACCAATTGGAAGATGTAGCCAATGGGCGAAAAGTTTGTTCGATATTATGTATATTTTTGTATGTATTTTTTCCAGCCAAAACGAAGACCCGAATTCCGAGTTCGATGGGCTGCCAATGTTGTTGATGTATGATCTAGAGTTTTTTTTTTAATAGAATCCTGATAAAATTCTTTAGAATGACAATAAACAAAAAAATGTGAAGTTATTGGAAAAGGAAAAAGAAGAGAGGCGTCCCATGAGCGACAGTGAGCGCGAACATATGATTGAGGGAAACAATATCTTTAAAATGGCATTAGCCGCAACAAGTATGGGTTAAATGAAGTTTGAATCTAAATAATGTTGCATTTTTCAGCATCTCAAACTCCTTCAACTTCTACTGGAATGCCATCACCACCATTATCAAATGGTATGAAATACGACTATTCGCCATTGAATATCGGATCGAGACCATCATTCGAATTTCCAAAATTGAAACCGCATCCTGGAAGTTCTGGAGAACATCAGAACCAAAAATCGTTTAGCGTCATAAGATCTTTGCCACTCCCACCGACGGTCGGTGAATTAGTTCCAAAAAATAATAATTAATTTCGGTTTAGGCCAGAATTTCAACTGTTAATGAAAACTCTGAATTTGCAAATGCATATAACGTTGAAAGTTCCATTAGTACGCCGAAAATTGATGAAACAAGTCAAGGAGATAAGGTAGAAAGAATGTTTGTCGATAGTATTATTAAAATGTTGATTTAAGATCTACGATGATGATATTCCAACATTTCCACAGGAGAGTGATGATGAGCAAGAGAATATGGAGATTGATGAAAGTGAGAAGAGTGAGAAAACACCAGCTGAGCCGGAGCCCCAACCACAACCAGTTCGTCCGGAAGAGGTGTTTTTATTATATTTGTTTTTTACCCATTCTTATACTATCGTCTTTTCTAGAACGACATTTTGAACTTCTGTCTTTCTTCATCTCGCCCTACCGAATCTTCGAGCTCAGAGAGTCTTCTCAACGTATTGAATTTGTAAGCAAATTTCGATAATTAAAAAACATTAAACATTGATTTTTTTTTAGAAATTTATCAAAACAGGCTTTGGATTTATTGAAAAACAAGGCAGCTGAGAAAGAATCCGAACAGCAGAAAACTGATTTAGATTTGAGAGCAAAGACATTACCTACGCCAGTGTACTTTGCCTTGAACAAAGCGAAACCGCCACAAAATGTTGCCCCTCAACAAACGAAACCTAGTGTTTTTTCGGTGGAAGAAGAAGATGAAGAAGCGAAAAGAACGGAATCGGAAAGAAAAGAAAATGGAAGAGATCGCGATTATAGGCAAATTTAAATACTTTTTTAAATTAAAAATTATTATTATCTTCAGACGACCAAGTACTTCCAAAGATCGAGATTTTCGACCAAAAGATCGTGATGATCGTCGGGAGAAGTCTGAAAGACGTGATAGAGACGATCGTTTTGATCGGAGGGATCGGGATGATCGTCGGGATCGAAGTCGACGGTTCCGGTCGAAAAGTCGATCACGATCGCGTTCGAGGGAACGAGATCGCGAAAAGGAACGCGAGCGAGCTCGTGATAAAGATGAGCGGATAGTTGGTCCTCCGAGACTTGTTGAAATTCCGGTGCCGGCGAATTCGCAAGATCTCAAAAAGAAAATGATTGAGAATCAACTACAAGAAAAATTAAGAAAGAATGGAAAAGATATTGACAATAAATTGGAGATTCATCAACCAAGAGCACTCCCGAATATTGTGGTATTACCTTGATCATATCGATCATATGTGATAAGGTTAAATTTTGTTCAGCAAGCATCATCATTCCAACCGCGTGTGAACTTTTTCAACAGCACCCCAGGTCCGCCGAATCCAATTCGAAAGCCATCGAATGAAATTCGCGAGAAAACTCCCGACGATTTTGAATCGCCGGCGTCTCCGCCACCCAATATGGTCACAATATCGGCACCGGCGCCGCCTATTGAAGAAGTTCATGAAATCGAGGAGCCAGATGAGCTAAGACATTCATTCGTGCCGGCGACGATATTGCCAAAAGCGCCAGTTCTTGTGCCCACAGATGGACTTGATGGTTGGGAAACAAAATTTAATTCGCAGAATACGCAACAAATGGAGGGCGGAGAGGCCTCCGTGAAACAATCGCCACCGAAGAGGAAACCACGCAAACCATTCGATCATGATTCTGCCAATAGTGTAGGTTTTTATGATTGCTATACAAGCATACCTTATTGTTAGTCGGCTTTAAACCTGAGTCTCGGTGCCAGGACGATGATTGAGATTTGAAATTCCGCGGGCTTTGTGAATGATGCCGAGCCTCGGAAATTTTCCATTCTTTCGTGCTTTTGTGACTGTTGAATGTTTAACAAACAAAAATAATTTCATAAAGATTGAAAAGTAGCTCCTGCGAATCGGATAATTGCAGGCTGTGAGCTCTTTGAAACAAGCGGATGATTGCTGGATGAACGCGATCAACAAAAAGACAACGGTAGAGATTATTTGAAAACCAAATGATAGACATTTCCTGGTTTAGGCTGGAAAAAGAGTTGATGAAGAAGAAGAAGGCGAAATAAAAAGCGACGAGGAAGGCGATGGTCATGGAAGCAAGAAAAATAAAAATGACATTCAAATAATTGAAGAAGATGACGATGTAAAATTTTAAATCTTTAACAACTAATCATTAAGAGTTTCAGATTAAAATTATTGAAAGTGTTTCTACATCAAACGATGTTCCCAATATTTCGCAAGATCGCGATGATCGGAAGCAGCGGAAGAGTCGATTCGATGCGCCACCTGCTGTTGCTTCTCAGCCGGTAGCCGGTTCAGTGTTCTTCCGCAATCTTGCCGGGCCATCGTCATCTCAAACGGCTAGGCCGACGGCATCTTATAATCCTGCTCTACAGAGCAAGCAGTTCTTCTTGAGACCGCCGTTCGGTGCGCCGCCAGCTCAACCGCCGAGAATATCGAATTCGCGATTTGGAGGTCCGCCGATTCCACCGCCATATGGAATGCGGACGACGTTTCCGACATTAGGAATGCCATCGGGTAGGCAATATAGATCGAAATCGAAACATTTCGGAAAGCATTTACAGCTTCTTCACAAGTGAAGCAAATCAAGTTGATAGTGATGGTCGATTCGATGATGTTCAATCGGGCGATCATGTAAGATTTTCGATTCAAAAATAATTGAAATCGAATTTTGTTCTAGGGCTCCTGAACTTTTTAAAGCATTGGCTGATAGCCTCCGAGCTCTTATTGTGCAAGGCAACATAATCAAAATGCTTGTGCACAAACATATTAATGATGCAATGGAGCGCGGAAACGAGACCCAAGTGATCTACCGCAATATTATCATCTGCCATTTCAACTGCCTCATTAATATTATGCCTGAACATTTATGTGACATGAACTCGATCAGATCGGTTAAGGTATATTATTACTATTATCATTCGCAACATTCCAAATATGTGGTTATCTTAGGATACTCTGCGTTGCCTTACAACATGTTCTCGACAATACCCCGACTATGAGCTAATATATTTATCTAGTGAGATTATTCTTACAGGGTGTCATTTAAGTTCCCGCACAAAAGTTTGACGCCATGTAGAGCTTCGCTAACGCACTTTTCGTACACCAATACAATTTATTTTTATTGAACAAGGTATATTTTACTTACTTTCCAAGTTTCACCTCATTCGGATGTGCTTCCGAGAAACGGCGAAGGCTAACATCCATCGCGCTTCCATTATCGAACTTCATAAGCAAAATGTGAGCCTGAGAGACATCATTCAACGGGTCGGTGTGCCTTGTAGAACGGTTTATGACACCATCAAACGATTCAAGGAGCTAAATACGACCAGTGACCGTCCCAGACAAGGAAGACTCGTCTCAGTAACCACTCCTCAGAAGATCAACGCCGTCAAATCGAGGATCAGCCGAAACCCCCACAGGAGCATGAGAAAGATAGCGTCAGACATGGGAATGAGCATCTTCGCTTTGGAACAAATCGTCAAAACGAAGCTTGTACTGACCCCATATCGTGTCCAAAAAGCGGCAATTCTATCGGCCGTCAACAAGCAGAGACGCTTCGAAAAAGCAAAACGACTTCTTGCTCGCACGCGGTCTGGACAAGATCTCGTCACTGTCTTCTCCGACGAGAAGCTATTCACTGTGGAGACGGCATTCTACTCACAAAACCATTGAGTACTTGCCCAGACATCCCAGCAAGCTTCTGAGAAAGGAAAAACAATTAATCGAGCCTCACATCCTGCCAGTGTGATGGTTTTCGGTGCCATCTGCTCAACCGGGATGTGCCCCCAGGATTTCGTGGATCAGGGAGTGAAAATGAACAAAGAAGTCTACGTTCGGGACATTTTGGAGAAGCATGTGATGCCCTGGACCCAAACGCATTTCGGTGGGCAGATATGGGTCTTTCAGCGGGACGGAGCACCCGCCCACACTGCCAAAACTACTCAGGAGTGGTGCCAGACCCATTTTCCCGACTTCATCAAGTCATCCGAATGGCCTGATTGCTCCACAGATCTGAAACCGCTTGACTTTTCCGTGATAGGGTCTTGCAGGAGAAGGTCAACGCAAAACCCCACTCAAGTGTAGAGACTCTGAAGAAGACATTACTGGCGGAGTGGGACAATCTTTCCATCGAATACCTGCGTACCACAGTCACATCCTACCCGAAGCGTCTCCGTGAAGTCATAGCTGCGAAAGGAGGCCGAATCGAAAAGAGTTAATAGATAATTATTTGTTGTACTATAGATAAATAATATTTTGAGTCTCGTTTGATTTGGACTTTTAGTTTCAGAAATATACGTCTTCAAAGTTGTGCGGGAACTTAAATGACACCCTGTATATTATTTATTCATTGATTGATTATATTCAGATTTCTGCCCGAAACCTGAAGTCAGCCGAAGTCTTCTTGAGATCGGAGTTCACGTTCAGAAGCTTGATGCTTTGATGGACTATATTCGGAGATTGCAATAATTTTCAATTGTACGAGTATTCTATGGGTGGCTACAATCGTGTTTTTTTTCCCCGGTATTACTAAATATCCATTGTTTCTAAATCATCGTTATTTGTAATAACCTACTGGTTTTTCTACAAGATTCCTTTTTTAAAAATTTAAATTATTGTTATGTCTTTTTTTGTTTTCATGCTTCTCTTTTTAAAAAAAAAGTTTGATTAATATATATTTATATTATTAAGGGAGTTTTGGTTTGTCTTTTCGTTTGAAATAGTTGGCTCCTTGTTTGGTCAAAAATGCTGGTCGTTTCCTTTGATTTGTCCGCAGCTCCTTGAAAATATTGAATATTCGAGGAAGAAATTGATAATTTTTAACCTCTCTAAATTTTCGGCGTTCATCATGCATTTTTCGACGACGATTTTCAAATTCTTCTTCCTAAACCGATATTTTTTGTATTTGTTTTTTCGATGTTTCTTTACGACATACGTCCATTTTATCTTTCAAAAGAAGCACTAGCTTCTCTCCTCCATCGAATCGAATACCGTATCTTCGCTGATACCGTAATCTGGTTGCTGGATTGAAGCTCTGCTCCATCATCAGAATAATTGCCGACCATTGACGAAGCCATTCAAGAGAATTTCCGGACACCTGAAAAATCGGATGGGTCTTGTTTGATTGCGTTGAAATTGCGCACTTCTGTGTAGGTATTTGTCATCATAGCGATCAGCATGTTGATCAGCAATAGAGTTACTAGAAGCATGTATACCATGAACGTAATCTGAAATCAACAATTGATAATCTATTGATGCTCATTTCTTACCTTTCCGATTACGGTATGTTCGCATTCTTCTAATTGTTCGAAAAATACGGTAAACTCCGTGAGCGACATTATAAACATGCGCACGTATGATTCTGCCACGTTACTCATAATCGAATTTTCGTGTTTTCCGTGTTGGTCCCTTTTATATCCGAGAAATATCACGTAAAATGCTGAATCAATGTTTACTCTCAAGTTTTCAATTTGGAATCGAATACCTTGCGAGAATCCGATTACAATAACCAGGTAGATCAAAAAGAATCGCATTAGATCTCGAATTATTATCTTATAGAGCATTAAGACGAATGGTCCCACCGATTTGAATCCTCTAAAAAATTTTGGAATTTTTATTATGATCATAATTAAAATTATGTATTATGGTGTACCTGCAGAAGAATAGGAATTTGAGTGACGTGAGAAGGACAATGACAACCCAGACGATGTCTTCTGCCTCGTCAAAACAGAAGACGCGAAGCCAGAAGCTCAGAAGCATTAGAATACACGAAACGAGGAAAATAGCCTTTGCTGGGAATCCAGACTGAAAATTGAAATAATGAATTTCGAAATTATTTTTGAAACATCATACCAAACTGAGAAAGTATAAAGAGCTTCCGACATTCCGAATATGGAGAATCGCTTGAAGAAGGTAGAGGGCTGCACCGGTGACGCACATGGCATGAAGAATGTGATAAATCTAATTTCGCGTTTATATTTTTTTTTAAAGTTAACCGTTACCAAAGTAGTCCTAGAAGACTCTTTCAACTGGCCGGTGCGAAAATCATTGAAACAAATCAAATCATTCGCAACGTGTTGTTGCCTTTCGAATGGTGTTGGCCTCAAAAGGAAACACGAGGTAACGCAGGTAAAGTAGAGGCAGAACATGAAGAGCTGCATAAATAATCTGAAACAACTCGCTTATTGAAAATAAGTGAATATTGCGATTACGTTTTCCGTCCATATGCATTCCATTTATGGTGCACAAGCTGCTCGAGAAGATTTGGCAAAAGTTGAAGATGTTCCGCCTTTTCGCCGTACACAGCAATATTCAGCACCGAGTTTTTATTTATCTGAAAATGCATTCTAAATTAAAAAAAAATAAATTCTTGCTAAAATATTGGAAACATTATTTTTCATTATCACCTTTCCGGTATTCGGTTCAATCGAATCAAGATGTTCGAGCGGATAAGCGGCGCTCTGCGTTCGTCCATATGTCCAATTCACAGTCCTCTCCTCTTCCACAATTTTCTGCATCATTTCCTTTTTCGCCATAAAAGCTGCGAGTGTGAGCGGCGTGAGATTCTGCCGATTCAAAATGTGAAGGTCGGCTCCCATTGATAGCGCGAGTTTGAACATTTCCCAATTCTCATGAATCGTGCAAATATGAAGAATCGTGTTGCCGTTCGAATCCGTCGCGTTCACATCGGCTCCGTTCGCCACAAGCATTCGCATGCATTCGGGATCCGATAGACAAGCGGCAAACGACAACGGATATTCGCCCCAATAAAGATGTCCCGGGTAATTGGTGTGCTTGCTGATGATCGCATGCTCGACTTCCGGATGATCCGTTCTCGATCCTTTCTGATCATCGCACGTGAAGAAATTGCCAGAGCATCTTGCGTGCACATCGGCGCCGTTTTTCAGCAAAAATCGCACGATTTCAGCATTCTCTGAGACGATTCCCATATGCAAAACAGTTTCGCCTTGAATAGAAATAGAAAAAAATTGAAATAATCTTCACAATTGCTACCGTAATACTCATCGGATAGATAAAAATCATTGATCACTTTTGGAAATATTTTGATGAGTCGTTCCACTAGCAATTTCATATGTTTTGGGAGACCTGTAATTCACTCTGTTCTAGTGTATAGCTGAAATTCAAGCCAAGCACCTGCGAGGAAGCAAGTGTGAAGAAGAGTCTCACCAACGGCGCCTCGACAATTCAAATCCCAGCAGACAAATCGACGTTGCACCGAAGTTGTGCCGACGGCGAACGCGTTTCCTAAAGAATTCTATACGAATCAAAAAATTCTTGAAATTGACACTACCAGTTCTTTCTTTGTGTCTTTGCTGAATTATATCCGACAGCGGCAACATTGCTCCTTCCCCATTATTATATAACATTGGTCGCACTTTCTGAACACAAAATGAAAAAAGAGCAACAAATTTTTTTGGGGAATTACCTCAACAATCATTCGATCAAGTTCTGTATAGTCGCCACTTCGAATCGCTTCAATGGCAAGCTCAGCGAGCAAACCTTTTCCGGTGACATCAGCGAGTTGATTGATCGCATTCCCTTTGGCGTTGACTTGATCCTTAATTCCGGCTGTAACTGTGCTTGATGCGTTGCCCATTGAAATTGAAATAAAATTGAATTCGAGTGTTGGAGAATTGACAGCTCATGAGACGCCGGAAATTCGGCATTTTCATGGTTCAGTTGAGGTGCCAACAAATGAAACAAGAATAAGAATTCGGTGAATTTGAAGGTGGAATTTGACAAAAATATTATTCGAAAAATACAAAAAAAAATTTCAGATTTCGTCATTCAATATTTTTCTTGCGGTGTTCATTTCATTTTTCCCGCCAAAAAGTTTCCATCGTCCCAAAAATTAGTCGCGATTGGACATATTGTGCAAACAATTGTCCCCCCACCTCAATATTTGTCCTCAATATTTTATCGGCCCCTCACACAATTTCCTACTACTCATCTATTTCCAACCAAACTCGAATCAGTGTGATTCGGCGATGCGACGCCCGCTTGTTTGGTCGACGCTCTCCGACCTCTCACTCGTCATCAGTTTTCTGGTTTTTCCCCCTCGACGCGCGTTTTGTGGAACAATCGACCACCAACGAGACCCCGTCCATTTCATTTTCCAATTTCGTGTTTTCTCATCACTATTCGATTATATAATATTTATAAACATATAAAATAGAAAAGCTTGAGTATAGGGTTTCAGTCTTTTGTGATTTGTGCCCCCCAAATACAACTGATTAGACACTCCGACGTGTGTAAATTTTAAGAATTAGAAGAAGAACAAAATTCTAGTTTGTCCAATTCTCGTTAAATAAATGTTAATAATTCGTAATTCATAGATCAACTACAAGTTTTTTCTACCCTTTTTGTTGTTTCGCGAATTTGAAAAATCTGAATTTTTCCATTTAATTGGTGCTCCGTAAAATGAAATGTGTTAATTCTTCATCACACTGTTTTAAAAAATATATTCAATATGAAAAAATGATGAAAATCGAGAGTTTATAGGATTACCGAGTAGATTGTGTTCCAAATAAAAAAAAAATGAAATTTGGTTTTATCGAATACAGTTCCTTTAACTCATATATTAATAGATGAAATTCATATTTGCAAATTTTTGTTTATAAAGAATTTCAACTTCTCTCAACTGAGCCTTCTAGCCATTTTCGTATGTTTTCATGCTAATTCCATGGTTACCAAATTGCGAAATATTTATGGCGAGTATATGCAAACACAAAATAATACTCAAGAGCTCTGTTTTCCATCTTGAATAATGCATAAATGAAATGCCACCTTCCACACAATTGCACTTGACAAATGTGGTCCAATAACAGGGCGGCAGATCAATTTTGGTTGTCGTCGAAAAAGAAAACAAGTCGTCGTCGTCAGGAAACGCATTTGAGTCATTTTCGGAAATCGTGAGTCATCTGTGTGCGCGAGACCCTTTTTTTTCGCAATTTCACAACAGTCAACCTCAAACGACGAGTGAGTGTGTGCGATTGGTGTCTGTCGGTCTCCGATTCGTCCGCCTCCATCTCGTCTATTTATTTTTCGTTTCATATTCACCGAAAGTACGCGCATCACGTTTTATCGCTTTCAATGTAATATATGTCGTGTATTTACAAGCCAAACGCGTTTCAATTCAAATATTTTATACAATTCTCAAAGAAAAAACTCAGAAAATCCTAATATCAACATTATACAAGTGAGATTCCAATATTAAATGTTTTTTTTTTTTCGAATAAAATAGACATTGATTGGTCTCCGTTTGGACTGTTTCATTCCCTTTTCTCTCAATCATTTTTCCCCGTCGATTTTTTTGCATGTTTCCATTCCGTATACATTTTCTCTTATCACACACATTTTTTTTTAAATTTTCGCCATTTTTTGTTTGCTTTCGATGTTGTTCGACATTTCAATTAGACATTTGTTTTCAGAAATACAGAAAATGTCGTACAACGGATACAATCAGCCACCTCCATACACACAACAGCCGGGATATCCACCACCAGGATCAGCGGTGAGTCGGTTCGAAATGAACCCAATTCAGTGATTCTCGCATTGTTCAATTATATTTTATTGAGTTAGTTTTCAGGGATACGTTCCACAAGGCGGATATTATCCACAACAACAACCTGGTTATGCTCCGTATCCTCCACAACAGCCGCAAGTGGTGTAAGCTTGATTTTCTCATATTCAAATTTTTTTTATTAATTTATAAATATCATTTTTCGAATAAATGAACCGTTTTCTTTTTTTCAGAGTTGTTGAAGAACGTCGACGTGGTGGTGGAAGCGACAACTGCTGTCTCGTTGCTTTGATGGCGTGTTGTGCGGGTTGTTGTCTTGCCGATTGCTGCGATTGTTGCTGTTAACCATATATGTACAAAATTGTGTAATATAACACCCTTGGAAATTATTTCATTTTGAATCATAAACCATTTTTTGAATTATTTTCCGAAAATTCGAATTTGCGGGATATGGAACTCGCTAATTTCCACCCACTATATTGGTCCCATAGAAAAAGAGGGATTCTTCTACTTCAAATGTGTCGCGCAATACTTAAAATTTAGATATAATGGTTAGGAGCCATGATAGAAATTCAATTTATTGAGCAATCGCAGTTAGGGGTAAGTCGGAATGTTGGTTTGGACCAACATTCCGGACTTGACCTTGTCGCTCCAACAATTCTGACCAATAAGCTCAGGCCGTTGTTCAAATAATCCGAATAAGCTAAAAAATAAAGTAAACCCAAGAGCACATATGAATTCCAAGGATGGCTCAAATAGTTATGTATATGGAATTATATGTAGTGTCATTCGCTATGGCGTTTCGAGGAGTCAGTGGTTATTTCGAATTCTAGGACTCATTTAGGCTAAGAAAATCGTACGCCAGCTTATTGACCCACCCAATTTGAGGGCAATCAATGATTTCACTCACTAACCATCGATTCATTGGCAGAAGAGATATAAAAATAGCATACCGTTTTTTTTTTAATTCCAGCTGATCGAAACATTATAAATAATACAAATTTATTTCCAAATAAAAAGATACAAATTGGAGGCAAATAAATAGAATCCAATGGGATTATCCATAATATCCACCGTATCCACCATAGCCGCCGTAACCACCACGATATCCACCATAATAGCCACCACGATATCCGCCATATCCGCCATAACCGCCATAACCTCGATAACCATATCCGCCATATCCGCCATAACCTCGATAGCCGTACCCGCCATACCCGCCATATCCACCATAGCCACCATATGGATACCATCTTTTGGCTCGAACATGGCTCCTGGAAATTGATAAATTTAATTTGAGTTTTGGTGTTTTTGAACTATTCACAAACAATTGTGAAAAATTCAGTTCAAAAAGGGCATTTTGTTTTATTTTCAGTTTGATATAGCTTAAAAAAAAGGAAAACTCACTTTTCGTCCATATTTGATGGTGCTGCTTCAGCCAAAAGCAACACAAACGCAGCAAGAATTACAATTGCAAATTTCATTTTTGATTTCCAAAACATCAGAATATTGATTGCTTAAGAACCCTTGTAAGATTGGGCGTGACAAAAAGTGGGCGGAGCTGATGCCCTAATTTGTTTTCGGATCGATCATCAGAAGTCGATCTCAAAAAAAAAACTATCTGGCGAAGAAAAGTTTAATGGCCAATTTACTCCTTATTTGGGAAATCGGATAATACTGGAAATTAGGATTCTGAAAAAATGGCTGGAATTTGTTCTACATTCAGATGTTCAAATTTTTGTCTGTTTTCGAAAAAGAGGAAATCAAAATTGGGCTTGTCAAAAAAATCGCGACTTAACTTCAAACAATGTGTGTCTATATAATAAAAGCTAAAATTTATTTTCAAAAATTTGGAAACGCCTCAATTTTTTTTCTCTATCCCCTCCGGTTACGAATTTTTTTTCTTTTAACTTCTTCCGTTTTTTGATATTCGAATGATAGGAAATTTAAATAAAATGTTGATTCTTCAAATCGCTCAATTATTAAATGAGTTTGGTCTTGCAGAGAGGAAATTACGGGTTTTTTTTTCCAGAAACCGGGTATACCATTTTATTTCTCTTACAAAATTCAAGAAATAATTCTATCATGACAATATTGCAGTGTATTCGAGATCATCTCGAATTATCATCATCTCAACCTTGGAATTTCGTCCAAACACTACCACTTTCCCTCCAAAAATGGTGCAGTTCGCCAAATGCGCCATAATTAGTCATCAAATGGCCTGATAAACAAAAACTCGAGTTCCTCAACTAACGCCGAATTTATCGAATTCGCCAATATTGCCACCAACAGGTTCTCATCAACATCTTTCGCCAATCAACTTCCGCGAGCTCGCCATTCTTCGCCAACTTCACAATTTTTTCGACAATCAAGCTTATACATATGTATTCGTCAAATTATCGACCACGAGAGTATACAATAGAGAAAAGAGATGAAATGACCAAGGGAATCCCCACGAGATCATTACATACATTCAAACATTTTAATTTTTAATGTTATACGGTAAAAACAAAGAAATCTTCAGAAACCTAAAAAAAATTAATTTTTATTCTGTGGCCTTAGAATGACCCACTCTGGAACACGGCGTTCACACTAGTGGGATTTACATGAAAAAAGATTTTTCTCAATGGAGCGCACTTGCAGCTTAGCGCTATTCCGGTGCATAAATTCAACAAATTAAATTTGTGAAATAAATTAGAAACATTTTCAAAATGGATCGTTTTTTCAATAAGAACGATTAGTTTTTATATTTCTTCCGGTGGATCAGATTCACCGCAATTTATGGTCTATTTAGTTATAAATTAAATAAGTTATTTTAATTTATATCGGATCTTTTTTTTTTGAACATATGCATAACATTTTTAAATGATAAAACCATCAATTAAACGAAAGAAATACTACACCATTGAATCATGATATAAAAATTAATGATATGTAGCAGATGAATTCAATGCGAGTAGATAAAGACGCGAGAGAGATTGAATTCGGAAAAAGAGGATATAAGGACATTTGGAAAATTGCAAAACTAATAGGGAAAAAATACACTTATCAATTTGGAAAAAAATGGATAATCAACAAATACATTTAACAAGATTCTCTTTACCGATTTCATTAGGCAGCTTGAAAAGAACACTTTGATGTTATACAACACAAATAGCTAAAAAAAAGGCATTTTTGGGCTGAGGACGTCTTTCCATTGGTCTTTCGGAGTAATTCGGAAGTTAAAAAAATCTCGAAAAGCGAATTGTCCGTGATATCGTTTCATCATTCCGCCAGCTTTTGATTTTCGAGATGGAGTGCTTATCTGAATTCAATAAATGAATTCAATGCGAGTAGATAATGACGCGAGAGAGATAAATAGAAAAAAGAAGCTGAAAACGGTAAATTAACGTAAGAACTAACGAAATTAAAAAAAAAAACAACAAAAAAATTATAGAGAATCTCTTGCAACTTCTCCGCCGAAATGACACACTATTTACATTTAAAATTTGCAAAAAAAAATTAAAAAATAAACAACTATGAAATGTTTTTCCAAGTATTAACAAACATAATCGTATAAATCAAACCATATAATATAACTATAAATGATATTAACAAAAGAGAGTGAAAAAACAGAGAAAAGAAATGTGAATATTTTTACAGTTCAATCTTTAAAAAACTACGGACCTCCGAATACTTATCCGATTGAATTATAGTAAAGCTTTTTCGATAGAAAAAAGCCTTGCGAAAAACGTGGTCGGTGCACTTTTTTGTTAAAATTTGAGAAAAATTCAAAAAACTTGAAAAATGAGCCAAAACCTGGCGATTTTTAAAAAATTCGTCTGCGCGTCAAAGACGCCAACAATCGACCACTGACACAGTTTGAGTTTTCATTTCAGGTAAATCCCACTAGTGTGAACGCCGTGGGAAATCGAAATTTTGAACTAAGTTTAAAATAATTTCTTTTTATTGTCGACTGTGGAAAATTGGCTAAATTCCAAAAAAAAACAATGGCATTGGTGCAAATAAGAGAAGATTTACGGGTGGGCTTAAGTATAAGAATAGGTTAAAGTCGCATTCAGCGCCCCGAGACCACTATTCTATTTTTTGGAATTCAGTCAATTTACCGCAGTTGCACGACGTCGACAATCCACATTCAGAAAAAAATGTTCATCAGTTGAGTTGGCCAATAATAATTTTATGGTCAATAATGATTAGACAATTGTTCTAACATTGATCTGGGTCATCGATGTTAAAGAAAAAAACAAAAATTTGCCAAAACGCGGCAAGTTCTCGAGGTGGCCTAGGATTTTTTGTCCTTTTTCTCGGCCACGTCCAGACGGTCTTGCACAGATAAACAATTTGCCCTCACCCTCGAGCGAAGAATGCTCACTCAGCGTAATTCTCTCTCGAAAAAAATATGGTGAACAGGAATCAGATTAGAGCTGTAAAAAAATTTCCGTCTTTTTTGAGAGGCGTTCAATTTTGCGATTGGGAAATCTAGAAACATTAAGAAAATATTATAATGATCTGGACAATGAAAATATCTATTTTTACAGTTGTTTTTTAAGTAAAATTTAATAAAAAAAACTTCGATAGTACGCCATTTTCAGATTTTCAAAATTTTTTCTAAATAAATTATTGGAAAGGATAAACCACGAGCGCATTTTTTTTAAACGAGGACAAAACGTTTAAAAATTGAGATTTGTTGAAAATTGGCGCGAAATTCAAGAAGAATGTCGCAGCCAATTCCCACTTGCGCAACATTTTTTATTATTTTAAAACCAATAAATGTAACTCAACTATTTCAAATATTCCTCTTTCTATCAAAAATGCATTGAGTTTCCAACAGTTTTGAGACCCCAACTAAACGAGGGTATTACATTCTCAAAAAATGAGCACTTTTTCTTTTCCAGGTTTTCCAGAATACAGAATACGAATTAAAAGTGTTTAAGGCTGAATTTGAATTGTGCGATGGTCCACAATTTTTCAAGACGCACGTTTTTTGCGATGGTAATTCTTTGCTGTTATCATTCATCTGTATTGCTCACGCTACTGTCCAAAATCAACGTCTGAAATTCACGGTAAAATTGGATGAGTCATTCGACATCACGGATGATTGTGATCATGTTGAATTGAAAAGAATACAAACTAACATCGTCGAGGGGGGTTCCGAACCATTAATCGCGGCTGACTCAAACATTTCCTGTCAATACGCAAAAAAGAGGAGGCGGTCAGCCCCTGATAAACTACTATAAAACGTGGGCGCTCAACCATATTTGGAATCGTTTTTTTTTATTATTCTCCTGATAAAAAAAGCGAGAGTCATGACGCGAGAAATTTGAGCTCAAAATTGTTTGATTAGTTTCTCTTGATTATTTCCACCAGAATGCCTCTTCTTTCTTTCTTCATCTTCCAAGTCTCTTGAGAGTTGAAGGCAAAATCAAATTTATCTTCATCGTTGATGTCGTCGTCGTCGTTCGTTCGTTTTTTTTTCCAAATGCACTATTTCAGACCCCCATGCTTGCCAGAATCCTCTTCGTTCTTCTGCTAGCCCCAACCGCCTATTCTCTGATTTGCAACAGTTGCGACAGCTTCCTGAGCTGCAATACACCGTTCCCCGAGACTTGTCCACCACGAGCACATTGTTACACACTGAAAAAGCATGGCACAGGAGAAAGTAGATCAAAACCTCTCTTGTTAATTTTTTTTTGTTCATTTTACAGTCATCATGAAGGGATGCGTTCATTCTTGCGCCAATTTGCCATATACGGAAAACGCGCACTGCGAGACTTGCCATCACGCCGATTTCTGCAATAGTAAGTTGATATGCTCGAAACGAAATTCCCCAGATGGAAAATCCAAGAATTTGTGATTTATCGTCATCCAAAGAGCCTCCAGAATCGAAACTCATATTTTTATTTGATGGATGAACTGCACTTCTCGAAATTCAATTTTTTCTTTTCAAACAAGCTTCTACACACTTGAACAAATTGTATTTAGTCGAATTGGCAACATTTTTTTGGAGAATCAATCTTCTCAGTTATCGATCCATTTTTAGAATTATTGCAAAATTCCTACCAAAAAAAAAACAAATTTCTTAATGAAAAGTTAGTTTTTTTTGCGATACGCCCTCATTAAGCATTAATAAAACAGAAATTGATAAGCGAAAAATGCGATAATGGAAATTGGTTCAAACTCGACGAAAAAAAGTTAATTGATCTTTCATTGGAAAAAAAAGAAAATGTACAATTTTCGGGATGACAAGTAGAAAATGCTGAAATACATCGCAAAAAATATTGCCTTCCATCTTTTAATAAAACACTCTCAGGTGGAGGAGTTCCTATTGGTAACGGAGCTGGATTCGACACCAGCCACCACTCAATTGGCGGAGGAGCTGCACCATGTAAGGCACCCAGCCAACGCTTGAATAATTGGGCGGGATATTTTCAATCGGCCATCAAATTATTGCAGACTACGACATTGGCCACGGCGTTTATCCGCGAAATGGCGCCCCAACGTTTGCTGCTTCAATTGCCACAATACTCATTGCCAAATTTCTAGTATTCTAATCAATTAGTGTAATTGCTTTTCAATTAATTAAGGGTATTTCTCATAAACGATTGTTTTCCCGATAAAATCGTTCGATAATTAGCTGTGCTGATAACTTTTAGATGCTTTCCGTTGGCCACTTCAAACATTTCTCGACGCGTTTTTATCATCGTCATCATAAACAAGAAGATTATGATAGATATTTGAGAAACTAAAGCCAGTCTATTTATGTTTGCTTAAAGCCTATATGAGTTGTCGGACAAATAATTTCTTTACCGGGGTGTAAAGTTCATTTTCGTGGAATTTGAACCCCCAACAAACCTATAACAATCACGTGTACCGTTTTGGATTGGCTAACTTTGCGAAGGTTTTAACATGAAATTATGCATTTGAAATCAATTGATATTGGTATTTTCTGTGGAAAAAAGAAAAAATGGAAACATGCATGCGAACCAGGGCTGTGCGGCAATCGGAAATTTCGGCAATTCGGCAATTCGGCAAATTGCCGAAAATAAAAATTTCGGCTATTAAATGTTTTCAACGATAATTCGAAATATAAATACCGAATTTTCACGGTATCCCAAATTATTCAATGGACATTGATTTTGGTTTCGCCGATTTTTTTTTTAATATCAAATTGCCGAAAATCAAAATTTCGGCAATCCGGCAATTCGGCAATTTGCCGATCGAACGTTCTCTTCGGCAATTCGGCAATTCGGCAATTTGAAAAATCGGCAATTTCGGCAATTTCGGCAATCGGCAATTCCATTGCCGCACAGCCCTGATGCGAACCTTCACCATAAAGTTACTATATCGATATTGCGGTTGCCGCAAATGGCCCGCGCGGGTCCCTCGCATCTGATGGCCTCGCGAGAATACTTACAAGATTCCTTATTAGAGTCCTTGTTAGAGAGTCCCGCAGTTGCCCCCCTGAGAAACCCGCAATATTTTTTTTAGGGGCCCCTTCATTCCCATTGAACACAAATCACCCGCGCGAGCCCTTCTGGGTATTCACCGGCGCGGGGCCCGCAAATTATGTAGATCCACGCAAATACCCGTTTGGGCCCGCACTGGGCATAATTTGGAGTCGCGCTGGCCCCCCGCACACTCCCCGTATCCCTTCACTTCACCTGGATACCAAACTAGGGCCCCAAGAGGCCTATGTGTAACCTCTTGCACAAATGATTGCTGACAATTTAAAAACACCTTGAAATTTCAGATGACCATAACTCGCCTGTAACCACCTCAGTGCAGGCTGGAATTTTGTTAACACACTCATAAGATCTTTTAGTTTACTTGTGCAAAGTCACAAAAAATTCCAAGACTGGTTAAAAAAATATAAATTTTGTCCATTTTTGAATGAACGACGGCTACCACAATTAGTTATGACTTACAAATTCGACATCGCGAAACTGAAAATTGGCTCGATGCCATAAAAACAACGTCAGGGGTCTCTGCCTAAAACTGAAAGTAAACGTGCAATTAGAAGGATAAGCTAAAAATGCACACCGCATAAAAGACCTCTGTCCCCCATTTTTTTGTTTGGAATTTTAACAATTTTCCATAGTCACACGACGTCGACAAAATGTAAGTAGTTGGGCGAATTTTGGTTCGCTCGTGGTCATGGTCACAATGACATCATTTCAGTGTGTTTCTCATATGGAATTTCCCCTTATGTTCCGAATTATACTTTTCTTATTTTAAACACACTATTCATATGTTTCTTCTATTGATATGAATTCTATGTTGAATTCACGGCTCGCAATCAAACAAAACATTTTATATTTTATCCACAGCCACTGAGAATCTTGATTCTCCACAATTCTTCCGTAATTCTTTCGTCTCGTTTTATCTGTGATCGCTAAATTACTAAATCCATTTAAAAAATGATCTTTTTAATTTTTAGTGATTTTCTTTTGCTAAATTCGTAAATATTTTAATGTTTTTCGTTAACTCTAAAAAACTTAAAAACTTATATTCTAATAATTACTCGAACAGGATTAGATGTTGCCGAACATGTTTGGAATTGGGCGTCAAGAATTAGGCCATAGCCAATTATCGAATTTGTAAATTCAATATATTTTGGATAATTGTTAACTAGAAGAGATTTTCTTGATCGGACCTTTTTTAATTGTCTTGCACACTGAATAAATGTTTTTATCCGACGTTTCGATCTTTAGATCATCATCAGGGAAAGTCAATTTACCTACAAGATAATAAGTAATAGATTGGTAAAAAAAGGAATAAACGGAGAGAGTTAAGTTGTAAGTATCAATCAAAAATAAAAAACCATTAAAACAAATTCAGAAACAAAACAATGTCCAATCCGTAACACAATAAATATGTTAGTAGCGTTAATGTGAGGATGTAAGTAGATCAAAATGTTTAGATAAATAGAGGAAAGGTTTAGAAAAGTTTTTAGCTATGACTAAGAAAATCCCCTCGAATTCCCAAATCAGAGACCAAATCTATAAGTTCTTCTTTAGTATTGAGTTCAGGATTCTTGGTTTTAATATAAATTCCTTCCAGTATTCTTCGACGAGTTGTGTTCCTCTCAATATCTAGTATTTTAATAGAAAGTTGTAAGGGCTCCCCGTTATGAATTTCAAATGAGTGTTTAGACCAAACCGTGTTTTTGTATGATTTTAGATTTGGTTTCAAAACAGCTCTAGCATGTTCGTTGAAACGAGATGCCAAAGGCCTACCCGTTTCGCCGAAAGTAACTCTCTCCACAACCACAATTGATTTCATAAATGACTCCTTTAATGCAGGGTTGGTAAATTGAAGCCGGGGCCGAAAGCCGGCCGGTCGGCCCGGCTTTTTTTGCCAATTTTTTTCCGCTGGATTTTTACCACTTAATTGCTTGGAGAAGAACGGATTTCGTCAATTAGTTGCTGACTTGTTAGAAGAAGTGTATACATTTTGAATTATTATTCTAGTAAAACGGTATCATGCTGGAGAAACCGATAATGTGTTTTTTGTGAATAAATATCATATTTTGGATTTTCAGTTCTTTTCTCACGATTTATTTTTTTATTGTCGAAAGGTATGGTTTTTTGACAGCGTGACAATTTGACAGCGAAAAAAGCCGGCCGAAAGCCGGCCCAAAATTTAACAACCCTGTTTTAATGGTACAAGTACCAACTCCCAGCTGCGGAGATATTTTGGATAAATTCCAAAACACGTCATTTCAAGACACCTCCTTTAATCATTGAAGGTCAATTCGAATTAGCTCTCTCGAAATATCATCAATCGGATTAGTCGAATCATTTTAGACTAGTTTCGAGTTGAATGGGAAATGACGAATTCACTACGTCATTCGGCACACATTTACGTCTACAGAATATAAAAATAATAGTAGTCGTAGTCGTGAAAGTCAGTGTACGGTATTCCCATCTATGGGTTAGTATGGTAGACTAATGCGATTATGACATCATTTTTTTGGAGAAGAAGCAAAGTTTCAAAGTTCAAATTTTGAACACATATTTAAATAATTCGAAAAATATTGTGATCAACTGTTTTCATCGAATATCCAGTTTTCACGGCGATCTTTTTTTGGACTTTTGCGGGCCACAAATTTTGGAGAAATGTGTGTCGAATCACAAAATTTCGACAGAAAACACAAACACTTTTGAGCGTTTTGATTATGGGATCATTACAACGAGAATCCTCCTCTGGTAGCTCAAAACCAAGCGGATCCGACGAAATTCAGCTCCGGAATCAATCTGATTCGATTGAAAATTCTACGGATAATGTTGTAAAATTGTCGGACCCGATTGGTTTTTTTGGATAATTGTCGAATAGGATTGATATTTTTTTGGATCCCATTTTTAAGTTACCAGAGTCTTTGTTTGATTAGAAAGTAGGGGTCCCCGGCCGGCTATGGAGCTCTCATTTTTTTCAAGTTTTTGTTCTCTGCTCCCTGTTCTAATGGACCTTTTCTTCTGAATTTTTTCTTAACTTCCTTGAAACATTTTCCCACAATTTACTAGTATGACCCTTCAAAGTACCAACTAAAACGGAAATACACCTAAAACGGAAAATATTACGACTTTTGAAGTGTTAATCCGGAAATGTGTGTTTACAATTGGATTTTGATGGTGATATCATTATTTTCGATTTTAAAAATGCTAAATTTTTTCTATTTTTTTTTTTAATTTATAATTATTTGTAAGAATATTAATAACATCAAGAAAGAAATAAGTTAATTATTTAATGACCTGTTTGCGAGATCGAAATATTGGAACTCAATCCTAATTTGAATTATACGTCGCGGAAAATTGGCTAAATGCCAAAAATTATGAAAAAAAGGGTTTGCGCGGTGTGCACCTTTAAACAGTCCTTATACCTAGGCACGTAAATCTACATTTTTAACTTCCTTTGCTTTTTGGCATTTAGCCAGTTTTTCGCTGTCGTGGTGTAGACATGCAAGCTTCTCATGTCGATAATTCGACACGCTTATATAGTCGACGTCTGGTAATTGCTGTACGTGGGTAGATTTACGCGCATGCACCTTGAAAAGGTCTCGCCACGCGTGAATGCTTATTTTGCTGTTTTCACGTGAACTGCTTCATTTTTCTTGATGAGTTTCGCATTTTCTTGAATTTCCAACGATATTCGATTGAAAATTATCGAACCAGTGTATATAATTTGAAATAACCTGTTAGTCCTTGCGAGACCATTTCGAAAGACGCAATCTACAGCAGTCGCCGGACGCCGACTATATGTACATATACTGCTCTTGTGAGCCTAATTCTTAAACGCATTTTTCACATTAAATTGATAACGCGATAACTTTTTTTTCGGAGACTACTGCTATATTGGCACGTGGAAAAGAATAATTATTTCGAGAGTACCACAAAAAACCCATTGGGAGTGCTTTATTCTTTTGACGAAATATCGCAAACTTGAATTCCATTTTTAATGCACTGGAATAATGGGAAAATCAAATTCGCTCTATTATGCAGTAAACAATTGAAATGCAAATAGAAGAACGAATATAGAGAATACCAAAAAATCT